AATCGTACGGGTGTGACTTCATTTCAGTTCGGTTTCGAATACGACAGTTTAACGTTCGATTCGAGTGTTGTGAATAAAAATTAAAATAAATCGACAACTGAGTTATAGTGAGGTTCTCGAATCGACCCCTTGAAGTGATAAAATATCAAGCTTGACACTGTGGACTTTGAAGCGTTCTTGTTGCAAACGGGATAGAGTTAATTTTAAATAACAAACTTGACATGCTCTTGACCCTGTACGTAGTGCTCCAACTGGTACAGCCTTGACATACGATTCGATGCTAGTGCAATATCGCAGCGACAGCAGTCATTTTACAACTGTCGGATTGTGCTTACAAATTACAGTCCTTAGCTTACGGGTATTTCTTTACAAGACGTATGATTTAAACTCACGAGATTGCGTCAATCCGGATTTCAATGCGTCTTCTTACCATGACGTCTTTACTTTACGAACGTCAAACGTCTAATGTTGTTCCGTTCTAGTACAACCGCGATACCAAGAAATGTATTTTATTATTGAAACTTAATAATGCTACATAATAATTATCTTTATGGATCAGTATAGGATCAGTTAGTTAATTAAGATAACATTTTCATAACATAAGATGGCTTGCCAGTTTAAATGTCGGTACATTGTTATAAGTAACACTATCTAATTAATTGATCAAAACCGAACAAATATTCAAATTAATATATTATGAGATGCTTAACACTGACTGTTCTTATTCTTATCATGTCAAATATACCAAAGTTGGGTATATATTGCTAATTATTTTTTGTGTATGCGGTCCCTATATCTTTTACGTCGCAAATAGTTTGCCCTTTTCAATTATGAAATTAAATCTACCTACTTGCTTATAAGTTCGTGATTTGGGTGAAATCACACCGTGATCACACCTTTCCCCGCGCAAGTCGCACGACAGCGACTCATACTTATAAGATTCGTGCGTCGATTCATATCTGCCGTGTATGATGCCCAGTGCAACTGTACCAAAATCGTTGTATCACGTGTCACAAATAAATAAGTTGATTCTTACAATCAAAGAATAACAAGCTGTTTGCCTGTGTTAATCACTTACACACAGTAGAAGGCAGAACTGTCTAACTGCAGACTTAAGAACGGAGTACAATCTATCTGACCAATTTTTAATACTTACCACAGTCTAATCTATGCCGTGTCTCGTTACGAGCACGAGCAGTCGCTATGCAAGCTTGCATAAAGTTGTAAAGCATTAATGCATCAAAGCGCACACGCGGAAGCACGCCTTCAGTATGAAGAATTTAAACATAAGTACTTAATAGGCACACACCGCAAAGGGATTAAGTTACTTGCGAAGATGCGCTATAAAAGACACAGCAACTTAATATTTGTGAGATAGGACTCAAACAAATGAAATAGTAAATTTAATATTATTTACCTATAAGCTTTCATAAGCCGGCTCCACACGGTTAGCATGGTTTGACAAGCCTTCACAAACGCAAGCGACTGACTTGAGCAAGAGTGACGCTCAACTTGATCAATACCATCGGCCTTCCTTTTTCGGTGTGTCACAGACTTAGCTGTGTTGAATATTGAAAAAAAAAATCGGGAGGAGATACATATTCATTTATGCCTTTGTTCTGCCCTATGCGTGTGGAGGTATGGTCTGTCTGTACAAATTCAGTCAGGAGAAGTCGTCTGAAGTTTAGTCAGGACTGCCTCCTCGTCCTTTGTGAAAAGAAAGGAAAGTCGGTCGTCGTCTTTTGTCCAAAAGAAAATCTTTCTAATTTTGAGTTTCTGTCAATGTAGTGAGTCTGTGTTTGTAGCCTGTCAGTTCGCTGGTCGTCCATGGAGGCTGGATGTGACAGTAAGTATCATTAATGATTTAATTACAAAAAATTGTTTACTTATTTCAAATAATAATTACTTTTAAATGCTAAAGCGTAGGGACGGTAGTCTTAAGTCTCTCTGCTTCGGACAATCATAGATACTGGACTGGTGTGAAGCTATTGAGCGGCTCTCGGTCCTCGTTTATAATTAGATTTTCAAAGTAGTTTTAAGTCAGGTAAGATAATAATAATGATACGAATAAATGGCGTGAAATTCATCGTGCTCACTATCAATTTTAGTCTTTCTCCACCACTGTACAAAGCTGTGACTATTTAGTATTAAGATTTTTAACTATACGAAGGAGCACGGCGATTTTTTAGAGGCAGCACGTGTAAACGAGTCACTTAAACCGTGTGCACGAACTGTAATTAAAGGTTTTTTTTTCATATCTTGGTGACAAAACATCATTATATCAACCATGTCGTAATTTCTAGAAATAATAACTTCCGGTATAACTAAGATTACGTGTCATAGTGAACGTAACAGACTTCCTTCGGTCTTTGTAAAAATAATCATATTAATAATACATTTGAGTTGCAATATTCCTGGTTCCTTGAACTTATGGTGTTTTTGTTTTTGTTTTCCTCTATTTTAGTTGTTAACGTTACAGTAAGTGCGTTTTTTTGTTCTTACATTTTTTGTTGTAAAATTGGTATTAAGGGTAATATTATGTGTTGCTTGTATACCAAAAGTAAATTCTAATCTGAAGCGTAATATGTACGCTTTGCTTAAAAATCTAATATTACATCTATACAGCTATAATAATTTGGCGTAAGAATTTCTCTGTCTTAATGAGGTTTTGAAATGTTACGGCCGGCCCTGCGAAAAGCTTTGAGATTTGCATTTCATAATTACAGATGTTTTTTGCTCTTTGTTCGGACAACTTTTGTAATTTGTTTTGGAAAAATTTTGTTTCAAATAAATTTATATGTTCCGTTTCCGTATTACAAGAAAATGTTTTTCTTTTCAGTTTAAGTTGATATTATTAATTTAAGTTGGTATTTTAAAAAAGCAAGCGTGCAGGAAACTTTAATATACTTGTAGGTGTATTTTATTAATTAATACTAAAATTAACGTAATTCTTAGTGTTCCAAAAGAATGTAAGTGCCTACCGTATTATTATGTACAAGACTGTGTGTAATTTTTATAAAAATAAAATATAGTGACGGGACGAACAAGTCGTGCGCCGGATGGTAACCTACACGCCTGTCCATAACAGTTGCAGTGCCACTCAAAGCTTTAAATCGCAAAGATCTAAGGGGCACTGCCTCTGCGCCCGTCACCCTAAAACATAAGTTGACAAGTCCCATGTGCCTGTAATTTCAACAAAAATGTGTATTTTACTTAAGCCTACTCGTAGCTACAAGATCGAAACTTAGTATATATGCCATAGTAACTACCTATTTACGTTTTATATGTAGATTTTCGGTTTGCACATCAATTTATGTATTTAGAGAGGGTAGGTAGTCTACTAGACGGAGTCACCCCACCGCATAGCTAATTATTGTTTTCCCTGAGGCAGTAAAAGTTACGGACCCCTTTCCATCTTAAATGCAGTCTCTAACATTATGAAAATTAATAAATAATAGAATTGCTTGCAGTAGGAACCCTCTTTTAAAATATATTTTACTCTATAACAAAGTCTATTGAAAAATGGCTCGTTTTTACATTCAAGACATTTCCGCTCGGCTAAGTTAATGTTTCAAACTGTTCAGTACAAACAAGTAAACTTAATTAATGTCTTCATTAAGTCGGGTAATATTCGTTGAAACAATAAAACATAAAGGGGTGCCACCCCTTCGTCATGAAATTAGCGTATACGTTGAGCGATCTCGTCGAATTATTAAAATATTGTTGGCTTTATTTTGTTGCATTACCTGTATAAATCTATCAAAAGTGGATTAATTTATTTTAGACTTATTATCAGTAATTTAAAATGTCTTAACCCAGTGTTTCCTAAACATTCTTCTGCTATGGCCCGATAATTTTCATACTGCCTCTTCGTGACCCACTCAATACTTTAAAACCCAAGCTGGTTACATTAAGTAAAATAGTACACATTTACTCTTATTAAAAATGTTTTACAAATATTATTTCGGCATCGCCTATTTAGTGCGAAGTATGGAGCCTGCTGCTAATTTTTTAATATAGAATCCAAGTTCGCTGAAAATGACGAAATTTTATCCTGAGGTCTGATTCCACTTCAACAAGGCGGGAATGTTATTTGATGGCCCGGTATTAGGTCCCGACCAAAGAGTAGAGTAATACAGGAGGAAGTCGCGACGCACCTAATGGGAAACGCTGTCTTAGCCTGTCACTTTATGTTTCTGTCAACAGTGAATATAAAATAGTTGGTATCTTAGCTTTACAGTTTTTGAGTGGTATTGTAAGTCTAAATGATTACAAGTCTAGTTGATTGTTTAGTCCTTTAAAAGCATAGATGCTATTCTTTTCAGCAGCAAATTTAGCAGATCTACTTAGCTAGAATCAAAGCAACAAAAAGAATGGAAACGGTTTACTGTTTAACTAAACTTTTACTAAAAACGAATGCAATAATATTATATGTAAACTTGATACTTTTGTAGATCTGACTGGCCCTCTGTGAGAACTGAGTGAGCACTCATTAAGTTATTTTTCTCTTGTTCTATCTTTTTACAAATAGAAAGATTGGATTCTACAATTGTTTTAGAACTTTTACTAAATGACTAACACATTTTAAACATTTTACAGAGGGTGCTCACTCAATCCACACACGCGTTGGAATTGAAATTTTACCTGGAATCGGTATTTTACTCCTTGATTGACCCCAATCTGATGTAACCCACCGAAGATGAGGCTTAATCTTATAAGATGGAAAAAAGACATACGTCAAGTTTTCAGCCCATTATTTAGTTTACAAGCATTAAGCCCTTAGACTTGGTTTCCATACTCTAAGGGCTTAATGCTTATAAAGTAAATAATGGACAGAAGATTTGACCTATGTCTTTTCTATATAAAAAGAAAAATTCACCAAGACTTAGCCGTATGGTGTCAAAACCTTTGCCTTTTCCTTTACGGAATGAATGGAAAAAACAACAATTTACAATGACAGTGACGTTTTTGACGTTTAAAGCGGTGGTTAAGCGCGCCTCGCATAAAATTTTATTATAAACCAACGAGAAACATTTATATTTAATAACATTACAATTGAAAAGTGTAAAAATGCGATTTATTCTAAAACAAGCTGGCTGTGGTAGTGAACGTATAGGCTGTTTAACAGAATTCGTGAAACTACCAGCCGCATCAATCGATACGCCTACATCAGCTCTTTTTACACAGGTTATTTACTGTTTACCGTTATAAAACTAATCATATTGACCCAATCTATCAGCACCACCATAAAAAACAGACTCGCAATACTACACCTCACTTAAATTACTAAATATACCGAAACTTTGAATCAAAATTTCGTAGTACGTACACGCGCAGTTTAACGTTGATCTTGTTTACACATAAGATAATATTAAAGCTTGGCATGTGCCATTTAGCAACTTAATAATTTTTGTTATTTTTAGGGAGCCAGTGTGGTACATCTGACTGCAGATGTTTTAACTCGAGTATTTTCAAATCCGCAATGTTTATGGATGCCATTATCCAACAGCATCCACCTAGAACCTGGCGTTAAAGCCCAAGGCGAAGGTGTTGGAAAGTTTGCAGGCCTAGCAAATCATGTTACTTGTGTTACATTCTACAATATTAATGATGTCACCCCACCAGGGCACTTTGAGTATGATAAGGCACCCCTGTGGACTAAGAATGGAAAAAAATTGATCACTGCTGATCGGTAATAGCTGATCAAATAAAGATTTTTAAACTTTCACATCTAATTGATTAGTAATTGCAAAAATATTTTGGTAGTAAAGAAAAAAATAGCAAATTTTTCACATTTTCAGATATATGGATATAATGGAAACATTCAAACCAGATTTCATTATTGCCATTGCTGATGGTCGCACAACATTTAACGATGGCTTGAAAAGAATAAACAAGGCTGTAAACAGATGCCGCAATATGCTAGATGTGTGCGTAGAACGATATAAAACTTCAGATGAATTTCAAAATAGTTTCCTTATTGGTGGGTATCTAAACTATTTATTTAATTAATAATACAACTGTGCACATACCAGGCTACTATTTAGGAACTGCTGGGCGAATGATATTACCGTTTTAATTTATTATCTTTACCAATGTCATTTCAAGAAACCCTACAATTATGAATACTTCATAAATATACTTTTACAAGAACTACAATGTGATTGGAAATGAAACTATTTTTCTGGATTTAAATTGCATATATTTGTTTTTTCAAACAAACCTAACAAACAAAACAAACAATGTGATTGTTTTGTATGTTACTATATTAATTAAAGACTTCACCGTATATCTAGAATATCTCTCTTAAACACTTCTATCATCTTAGGGTTGTGACGATTCTAACTTCCTTCATCTTCATCCCATTTTATCACCCTCTTTACCAATTCTTGGCCACTTAATTTTAAAATTTTGAATTATTCTCAAATTAATTTTTTCTTCACCTTTCTTATGTGGGTTGCTCCATCGTCACTACCATGAAAATTCTCATAATGGGAGAAGAGAGCCCTTGCCCATATATATTTACCTCATGAATCCCAAATTTCACATCATTTACTGTTAAATCATAGATATTTTAGGTCCTTTTGGGTTTTTTATTTGTACACAAAGTCTTTCTTTATGCTAAGTCTAACTTAAAGGGTAATAATAAATATGTTATATGGTTTTATACCATCTGAAACAAATGAAAATAAACAAACTCTTTTTTTTATTTTCAGGGGTAATAGTAGGTTCTAGTCAAGATGAGACTTACGATGAATGCATCAACCATGTCCTAAAGTACAAGGATAATTTAAGTGGAGTTCTACTTGCTGGAATTACTGATGGCACTGAACAGTCACTCATAGTACCCATAAAGCAGCTGGAAGAAATTTTCAAGAAAGTTAATGTAAGTAAATCTATAAGGATTGGGTATGACCACTCTTTTCTGAACTGGTTATACTCAATTCAGTCATAACAATGATATCACAATATTATTTTTAAACTCTTCCTTACATGTATGTTGTTGGTTGAATCAATCTTACAGTCTTTTGATGGAAATATTGGACAGGTGCACAATAAGTAATATCAAATTATTGTCGTTCTACTTACCACTTAAACCATATTTTTGTTGTTCCATGTTAGCAATTTATAAATGGATCCAGAGTATCTCTCTGAGATACGTTAAAGGAATTAACATTCTGACACTGGTGTCGCTAGTACATTTACTATAATGTAATTTATGTTAAAAATAATTTTTTGATGATAAGTGTTGATAGACTTTATACATATTATATATAAGTATATATATAAGTTCTTGAGTTCTATATGTACGTTCATTAGTATGGCCTGTTGCATGTTTTATAACTATGAAGTAATTGTTATTAAACACTACATAATATTATAATTTATTAATCTATATCAATAAGGTATTCATTCAGTTCATATAAAACATACAACTGGCGCGCAGACACATTCAGCGTGCCTGCCATCGCCACGGCGGTTGGCGTGACGAATTGGATGTCTCGACAAACAAACAACATTCTGATTGCATTTTGCAGTTGTTGTGCAGCTGCCTACACTCTAAGAGTTAAAGTACTATTTATTCAAATATCTTTATTTCATTGGTAAGCACATTACAATTTACGACAAATTAAATAGCAATTTTAATTTCATTTTCTTACCACCATCTTTCATCCATGTTTCTCTTGAAGCCAAAAACAATGAAATGGTTCACTAGCATGGATTTTTGTTATTAATGTATGTAGAGTTAAGTTTTTGTAGAAAGTTTTTGTCAATAGTTTTTTTTAGGCCTCATAAATTCCAAATATTGAATAGCAACAGCAACTATATGTAGAAGCACTCTAATAAATATATATATATTTTATTATTAGTTTTATATGAACTGAATGAATACCTTATTGATATAGATTAATAAATTATAATATTATGTATTGTTTAATAACAAATACTTTATAGGTAGTTATAAAACATGCAACAGGCCATAATATTAGACAATGGATTTCCTCGTTTGTATAGACTGGGCTATCTATGGTTATCGCAAGTTAACTACAGTGACTAGTAGTGTTAAGGGTCGTTCTCAGATAACCTCCAAAAATGTGTCCCTTTCAGTAACTTTTATGTTATTACATGAATGCTAAGCATTATTTATTTAATATGATTGCTTGCTTACTTAGTCTGTGTTACACATAAAAAGACTACTTTAGTACGTCACAGTAATAAATAAAAATTAAAAAGTGGCCAATTTCTCATTCATGGGAGCCGGTTCCACGTCGCCCTAATTTAAAGAAATGAAGAAAAAAAATAAATACTCGTGGAAATCGTAATATTTCTCATCGAGGATAAACTCTAATAACTTACACATCGAATACATACCGTAACTTTCCAATTTGTTATAAACAAATTTGTTTTCTTGGGAATACAAAATGTGTTTTTTTTTTAGAATAGAATAGAATAGAAATCTTTTATTACTCAATTTTTCTTATCATTAGTGTCAATTCTACTAAAAGCCGCCTAATAACAAAAGTTCATACCGCATCACCTTCACCTTTCGCACACGTGAGAAGGGGCTCCTGTCGGATTGGAGTGTACACAGGGAAGTAACCTGTCCATCTCCATTTTAGCAAAAAATCGACTTTAATACCAATTTCAGCGCTAGTGACTAAACCGTTCTCATTCATGTAAAACAATCTATCTAAATAAGTATTAAGTAATAGTTTTATAAACTTTATTGTACATCAATTAGACAAAGGGAACTTTAAAATCCATGCACTTTTCTAACGGTCCAGCATATTTTACACGCTTGACAATTAAAAATGTACCCAAATATCATTATTGTCGTTCTCATTCTTGTCTACTTTTAAGTCAAATAATTAGTTTAAGCCAAACATTTACCTGAATTATAACAATTAGATGGTGATAGTGGTGGTGACGACAGTGGTGACGATGATGATGGTGGTGATGATGACGATGATGATTGTAGTGATGATGACGATGATTGTGATGATGATGTGAATGGTAATGATGCTGATGATAATGGTCATCATGATGATGATGTTGATGGTGGTGATGATGATATATTGATGTATAACAAAGTTTATATGACATTAACAAAATACTTATTTAGATTTATTTATTAATTACATATAGATAGATAGATGGTCTTACACGGATGAGAAGGATTTATGTTTATGAAAAAATCAGTCGTGTTACTGCAATCATTCATTCGTGTCACCTAAAATATCGTTTTTTTATTTTATTTAAGTTAAATATTTCTGGGATTATATAATTATTGACATTGCTTGAACTTATTTATACGTTTAAGACCTTAAAACCAAAAGAAAAAAAGGGTTTTATAAAAATCACTCATTAAATGCCATTGAAATTCGGAAAGTGAAATTCACCCTTAAGAACCCTTCTGGTGCTACAAAATATTCTTTTGTTTTATATTGGAGCTTTTGACATCTTTATTATGTAATCTGAATTTGAGAGATATATGTATTGCATTGTTATCTTGCATATTTGCTTAAAAACGAAGCAATCAATGTAACACAGCATGAATAAAATAGATATCTCCATTGAGAAATTAATTGTTCTTGTTGAATTTCAGGATGCACTTCCTAAAGACTTGCTAAGAATTGTAGAGGGTAGTTGGAACCCTGCAGTAGTCGTATCAGCAATTGAACATGGCTGGGATATGTTTGATGGATCGTATCCCCTTAAACTGACGAATGACGGTCATGCGTTAGCTCTTATCTTGGACGTGAATCGAAATAGTGACGAAGTATGTGTACTTGCCCTTAGCCATGATCGGTAAGTGTTAAGACTTGAAGAGTAAAGAGTTTTTCTAGTATTTTAAAGTGAATATTCGCAGTATTATTTATTTTAAGGGATTGCCGCATGAGTATTAGTTACTGGATTAGACTAGTCAGGCAATCCCGCCGAGGTATATATAATGCTTTTCGCAAACAATGCTAGGAAATATCGAATAACCAAAGAATGATGGAGAATGTATAATAAAAAAAGTAAAACAAGTATGACAAACATTTTCTTCTTGTTTTAAATTAGGCAGAGTTCACTATTGTATTTTCACTCTTCTCACTAAAGAAAAAGTAAAATATAAAAATAACAAAAAAAGAACTTCAATGTACTTTCGTTTATATTACCGCCATTTTTTAAGTATCTGGTTAAGGTATGTTCGTGCATCAAAATTAAACGCAAAATATTTTTGTAACAAATACAAAAATAATTTGTAATAATAATAATAATAATAACGCAACACACTCATAGCCCCGCACTAGGGAAACCCTGTATCGCCGGTGCCATGGAGACACACATAGACAACCACAAATGACGCCCAAACTCTCGAGAGAAATAAATGTAGGCCATACACATACTTCTCCCGGCTTGGGAATCGAACCCAGGACCTCTGCGTGGCAGTCCGGCATGGTAATCGTTCGGCCACGGTGGCAGTTGTAAGGACCAGTACTCAGCGACTGACACAGTATTATTTTAAAAAAAACTTTATTGACCACAAGACATGATGGTACAAAAGGCGGACTTAATGCTAAAAGCATTCTCTACCAGTCAACCTTTAAGAATAACGAAATTCACGAACGCGGCGAATTATTATATTAATAAATTATATATTACATATTATTATTTAAATTATATTAATAATTATTAAACAAAATGTTACGCTAAGAAAAACTTATATGTAATAAATATATAATGATATGTACATAACAAACAAACCTAATACATTCATACATACAGCCTAACATAGTCATATACATAATATGTATATATATATATACAGAATATAATGATTATGATATGATGATAATGATAACCATTATGACAAACAATTTAAAAGATGCTCATGAACATTCTTTTTGTAAGAGAATATACTGGGAGGCCTTCTGATGGAGTCTAGGAGAGCATTCCAGAGAAGTATGGATTGGAGATTGAAGGATTGAGAATGAGAGAGAGGTACAGTGATTGAGAGTGAATTCATGGATCGAAGAGGGAGGTTGTGAGAGTTCCCGAGATATTGAAATTTACATTTTAAGTATTCTGGATAGTGAGGATTGAAAAGAATAGAGTACAACGTGCAGAATAGTCTCTTCTGCCGGCGTTGACGAATGGAACCATTTAAGTTGAGACCTGAAAGAAGAAACATGATCAAATTTGCATAGGCAGAAGATGAAACGGATAGCATTATTGAGAAGGCGGTCCAACTTATCTAATAGATTTTCATTGAAATCAGGGTAACAGACATCAGCATAATCAACGTGTGGGAATATGAGGGAAGTAAGGTCTTAATACTGATAGGAAGAAAATTCCGAAAGCGGTTGAGAAAACGTAAAGAAGGAATAACCATTATTAGTGGCGTTGTACACAGGTCCTCGCGTGCGCAGGTGCAAGGGCACGCAGGGCAAGACAAAAGAAGTGCCATAGTCAGAGGAGAGATACCACAAATACATGCGCTCTCAGAACTATAACACCCCTTGTGCATGCTCTCCTTGCTCCGGCCGACTTGGGTCCGCAGTCTATTTAGAGACTTCCAAGTGTGTCAAGATAGATTATGCCCAGAAGGGTGTTATTAGTAATGAAACTAATAAAACGCGTTATATCCGATTTCGTCTAATGATTCATTTCATTGAAAACGCTTTGACGTTGTATCTGCAAATACGTTATAATGTTTATAAGTAAAGATAAAATCTACAGCATTAATTTAAATCTATTTTGCCAAAATATATCAGGGTAATTTGTCAGGCTAATTGCCTGTTTATTGTATGCTGTGCCACACATCATGAGACTGTTTTATCGTAGATCTATAATTTTTGACGTCATAATACATACACCTGTGCTTTTTACGTATCAAATTACGAATTAGATTGTTGATCGGCGGTTGTTGTTTGTTGAAAATTTTGTGGGTTTTATCTAATACAAAAGAAAAATGTCCAAAGAGTATTTTCTCTTTCTTCTGCTAAATTAATTTCGATCTCCACATATACGTAAAGAATCATAAGCCCATATGCACAAGTTTCTATGTGAATGTTTTAATGTATTGAATGGACTAAAAATAGCATAAACTTATTATTCTTTAAGTTTGCAATTAAATTTAACACATACTTTTTATTTTTCATGTATCATAATCAGTGATCGGAACTGAAGGAGTTAATTTACCTAAAGTATGGACGCTTTCTTAGTATGGACATACCCCTTTCATCATCACTGCGAATAAAATTTATTTTACTGTTTATTTTATCGATAGGTTCAATAGGTTTATTCAATAGGTTATCTCATGGTTATTTTTTAGTTGGTTAAATTATTTAGATACGTAAGTACGTATAAACACAATTACAATATTATTTATAACATTTTCTTAGTATAGACATACTCATTTCGTCATCAATGCGTATAACATTTCGTTTATTACTATTTATTTTCTAAACATTCTAAAATATAAATTGTGTCATGTTTATTTTTTCAATAGCTAAATTATTTCAATAAGTAATACATATCGTCATCCTAAAGTAAATAACCTCCTATGTGATTTCTATATAATTTTTCAGGACGAAAATCAAAATTGGTGTAAAATGTAGTAAACGCAATAAGTTAGTAGTTTATTTGGTATTTTACAACAATATACTACTTTAGTAATATATTTGAGTAAGAAGTTTATAAGTTTTTCTTCAATAAAAGTCAGTAAAAGCGAACTATATGAAAACGCGAATGCGAGGCTTTCATTCCAAGGCAAAGAAGTTCAACAACAATATTGTTTTTTGAGATAATAATTTGTAGCAAATACTTTATAGGAAATTGTAATTTGTCGCCAATGTATTCAAATTCAAATTATGAATACGCATATTGAAATTGAAATGTAACCAGTTCCGAGAATTCCCGGGATTTGTAGAAGGGAACGTCCATATTATTCTTCAAACGCTCACAAAATTGTCAACTTTTTAAAGCATGGTGGACCACGGTTTTTTATAAAGCCGCATATAATCTGTGTACATTTCATTTTAGATTTGAATATTAGCTTAATACGCAATGCATTTCCCAAAAAAAAATTCCGTACCTAAGATTTCTTGCTATATAACTATAGTAGGCTGTTAATAAAGCATTTAAGTATATATAGCTTAAATATTCAGAATCTTGCCCCATGCATATTCTAGGGGTATATAGATTTCCCATTGTAGATTATTATCTATATACATAAATATATATAAAAAATATCTTTATTGCAAAACACAGAAAAATAGGTACCTCTGTACTTCTCATCTCTATGTGCCTATGATGTGATGATGAGATGATGTGCTCTCAAACTAAAATCCCCTGTACTACGGGTAGCTAGGTCTTACGTCCATCAAGTGTGTTGCCTAAAAATTACAATAACTACGTCTATTACAATAACTAAGTATATTATAATAAGCTTATAAAATATGATTGATAGAACACAAAGAGAGGTGGTTTATACATTTAATTATGGTACATTCATAAATTTGCAATATTTGCATCATAAATTACATAATACCAAGAATTTTGCAGTATCCGTTTCGCCGGCCTCTTTAATTTCAAAGTTCATAACTTTGTTTACTTAAGATTTATAAGTTATATATATTTTAGTCATTCCATTATAGATATAATTTTTATATGTGTACTTTTCATACCGTGTATCATCAGCTAATAACATCATACCGTCATTAAGTGATTTACAAATCGTCGCCTTACTTTCTCAAACTCGTATCTTAAAGCATAAATTGTCTGAAATACAAAAAACGCATTGTGTATATAAATTTTGCAGGCTGATTTCACATCACATTTCCTTTATATAAACTCACTGGCTTTCACTTATTCTTAAAGTAATCCATCCAAATTAACACCCTTGGTGAGAAATTTAAAATAAATACAAAATTTAAAATAAATAGAAAGTATTGCCATCTCCTGAATAATCACTCTTTATGAGATACGTGCTTGAGAAAGCAAAGCACCGAAACGTCATTTATGGAGTAACGATGGCCCTAGTACGCTACTTTGTGTAGTGACTAACAATGGTAAGCAAGGACACTCGCTTGCTTACTGGTTTTGTTGTTGATGCATAAAACTTCTCAATTATGATCACGGGACACACGTTACTAATGTGTGCTGATTACATGCTGAGAACCATTTTATTACAGTTTACAGAATCACATGCCTTGTGTACAAATAAAAATTAAATGCAAGTTGGATTTATACAAATAAACTGTATTTCCGTAAATATCTTAAAATTAAAAAATACAAAGGTTTCTTAAAGAGAGAAAAAAACAGTGTTGCCTACTCAAAATAAAAATAAAACCTGGCCACATTCTATTAATTTACAAAATATTTATAATAATAATCCTTTATTTTCTTAACACAGTGTAGTCCTTTTAAGCATATAATGCCTGTACCAGGAAACACCGCTCTTCCATGACAGTATTAGGTACAAAAGTAAGATAATTGGTGAAATTACAGGATCATGGGACTTGTCAACTTAGTCTCAGGGTGACGGGCGCAGTGGTAGTGTCCCTCAGATCTTTGCAATTTAAAGCTCTAGCACTGTAATTGTTACGGACAGGCGTGTAGCTTACCATCAGGCGCACGACTTGTTCCTCCCGTCTGTTGATGTATAAAATAATAATAATAATTAACATACTACATGTTTAATATGACTTGCTAACTTAAACATTTTAACACCAAATTATAATAATAAATTGATATTGGTTAAGTACTTAATTGCATAAATTAATATTAATCACATTATTGTTTATTTAATCATTATATATTATACATATATTTTTATCAGATATGTTTAAATATTTCTTAAACATCTTGGTAAAATCTATATGAGGTCTCTGAGGTCCCGGGCTCGATCCCCGGCCGGGTCATTATAGAAAAAACTAACTTTTCTATATTGTCTCGGGTCTGGGTATTTGTGGTATCGACGTCGCTGTTTCCGATTTCCATAACGCAAGTGCTTTACTTACTTACTTTGGGATCAGAGCAACGTAACGTATTGTCTAATAAGTATTTATATTTATTTTACAAGTAAAAGCTTGGCTGACTTCTGAATATCCCACAATATACTCGTATTTATCGAGAAATCTGTGGATAGCCCGAATTTATAGTTATTATTACGAAAGCATTTTTATTTGTCTATCAATAGTTAGTAGTACGACGTTATTAAATAATGCTTTTTCGAAAAACCTAAACAGCATTGGAATTGAGCCCTACATATTAACAGTTTTAAACTCAACATTGTAAGAAATGAAATAATTTAATGTAGAACCTTAATGATCTGTACTCCATTTCACATTTCTGCAGTCCTTATTCTTGGCCCACTACTCAAAAATAGGCCCTAATTTCTAACCGCATAACACTAAAACCCGATTCCGATCGAAAAACAGTGAAGATTTTTACTTAATTTTTATTTCGGTTTTGATTCAATAAGATTCACTTTTATTCATGTCATACTGATTCTTTGATTTCGATTTTCCTGGTTAGCGTGGGTATCTAAGTGCAGACTAAATACTAGCATGTTTTTATTTTCAGATATAGTGAAGACTTCAGACCAATTTTAGAAGGCTGCGAATGCGTAACCTGTAAGAAACATACACGAGCGTATATTCGACATCTTTTGAACACTAGAGAAATGTTGGCCCACGTCCTACTTAGTATGTAAGTATAAAAACATTACGTGATTCACGTTATTATTTCTTTCTTGGCCCACAAGTATACAAGTTTAGTAGCAGTAGTGCTCCTTGTGAAAGAGTTCGTCCAGGGAAGTACTGACACCATTTATTATTTTTGCCGCTAAGCAGTAATATCTGATCTGAATCTTAGCGATTCAAAAGTGTGGGCACTGCAACTGTTATGGATAGGCGTGTCGCTACCACCAGGCGCATGACTTGTTCATCCCGTCATTATAATATATCATTTAAATAAACACCTATGCAACTGGAACCTCCTATACAAGTCAACTCACTCCTGAACTTCATAACAAATGAAATTGCCACACTTTCACTCATTGTTGTCGTACCGTTTCAAACTGAGGTAACTTAACTCAGTTAAATAGAATGTTTGTTCTCTAAAAACGTGCAAAAAGCACCATATTAGGAAAATGGATCAGTCTAGCTGAAACCTTTTTAAGTAGCAACGAATTATGACTGCGTATTAACAATTCTCTAGAAATGATTGTTTACGCCTATCACTAAACATACGGGTGAAGTAAAAGTACAGCATACACGCAATAAAACTTAAATTCGTTACCACCGTACCAAATAAGGAATTAATAACACACACGCTCTTAACCCCGCACTGGGAAAACCCTGAGTCGCGGGTGCCATGGACCCACAACCAACAATTTGTGAGTTTGGGTGTAATTCACCCAAACTCACGAGATAAATAAATGTATGCCATACAAATATTTTATCCAACAGCGTTTACGGAGTTAGTCGGTAATATAAGAAAAATGAAAATCCTTTTATATACATTTTTAAGACTTTAAAGGCCTAAAATATAGGAAGGTATTAGTCTTGCATTATAATACATTAATAAAATTGAACAAAATCCAGACTTTATTTAAAATAATAAGAGATTTATTACATTGTTGCTTTGTGAACAATAGGACGTTACGTAACTTTCATACGATAACTGTGTTCTAAATAACGTTTGTTGCCTTTGCCGGTCCAGGAGCTCGAGTAATCGTACGGGTGTGACGTTATTTCGGTTCGATTTCGATTACGACAGTTCGACGTTCGATTCGGGTGTTGTGAATAAAAATTAAAAGAAATTGTATCAAATCGAATCGGTCGACAACTGAATTATCGTAAGGTTCTGAATCGACCCCCAGAATGGTAACCGTTCGGCCACGGAGACAGTTTAGTTAAATTACTGTAATTATTACTATGTCATGTAGTTGGTATAACATTAATATTATTTTATTTATTGTCTAGGGTATTGATATATGCACAGTTCACTGTGTTTCATTAGAAAATCTCGCTCTCGTATTCTTTTTTTATACCATTTAAATGTAACCTAGCAATAAGCTGTTGAAATAAAATATAAATAAGTAAAGTTGGCAATTTTTGTATTTAATAAAGCGGAGTGACATGATGCCCCAGTTTCTTTGTGTGATTTGAATCTCTACTATTTATTTTAACAGGTGGTAATACATATATGAAACAGGTAACTTAGAAACAATGAGGCCTGATAACTCAAAATACTTTAGAGCTTATACGTAATCAATATTTAATCAGATGCAACTTACGCTTTTTTTTAAATAAAATATTGATATAATAGTATTACATTTATTTCAAGTATCTATCGACTCATATGTGGTAGTATTTACGAAGATGTGCATTTATTCTATTGTTAGTAAAAATAATCTCAGTACAGAGTACTAAAAAAAGGACCTCAAAAGTTCGTGAAATTACATACTTGTGATCGATTACCGGAAAGTGCGCGAAAACAAATTCATCCCCTACTTTGCCACCCTAAGGCTTATATCACACTGGCGCAGAGTCGAAGCGTCGCGTCGCGTCCTGTTTCAACTACAACGCCTGGAGACGCGTGCCGTCGCGGGACGACGAACCTCGCATTAATGCGCCTGGATTACAGTGTGGTCGGCTTCTGACGACACACTGTGCTCAAGTAACGCGCGGGGACGCGCGGTGCTCCATGTTAGCATAACACAAATTTTACCTTAAAAATGGGGAAATGAGATGGATTTGCTGTAGGCGAAAAACATGACGCGTCGCGACGCTTCGACTCTGTGCCAGTGTGAGTTGAGCCTTAGAGGTGGAATATTTTCTTCAAATTTATTTATTTCTCTTTCCAACAAAAAAATATAAATAAAATATGTATAAATAAAAAGTTATCGCGTCACGTACATACAAAAAAACCAGTCAAATTGAGAACCTCCTTTTTTTGAAGACGGTTAATTAAAATTGTATTATACATTTGGACGCGTGTAGTCCACAACAGTGTCTAATATTATACAGGTGCAATCATCTCCAATGACGCGGAGAGCTGAAAAAAATCGCATACCTTTCATATCTTTCCTTACTTTATATCTTTCCTTACTTTATATCTTTCCAGTCACAACCTCCATCATTTCGACCAAATGTTCGTTGAAGCTCGCCGACATATATCTGCTAACACGTTCCAAGCTTACAAATGGCATGTAACCCAACAATACGAAACGTACAGTGCAACTTTAACAACTTTTGATAACTGGGATGATGGCATTCAAGACGATTCAGAAATAGAAGATTTGCAAACGAAAAAGAGAATGAAAGTAAGTGAGGATTAGTAAGTTAATAGTAATGTTGCCAAAGGTACTGTAGTGTAGATATACTTTTAGTGTAACGAAATTATGTAACTTAAATGTTAAAACAGCGATAATGACTTAGTAGAAACAAATATATATATATATATATATATATATAGCCTTATTCCGTACAAAATAACAACGCCTCTTGTATGTGTACGCAACCGCGGCGCGCCGTGCGCCTTAAGACGACCAGTGTTGTGCAACGCTAAAATATCGACGTCAAACGTTGACGAAATACTACATTGCTGGAGCATTCTAGTGACCGCCCGCGCCTTCTCGCGCAGCGAGACGAAATTGATGATTCCATTCCGTTACGCCGCAATGTAAATTGAGCCTTAGATTACACAAATGTGCGCGCCCGCTCACGGCGCGCTGCGACGTTTGTGCGGAGTTACCATACTTGTTATTATGTTAATAGGGTCGTAGGTCATATAGCAAATTCAGCTCGTTACTCGTGATGTCCTTTGGGTGATATCATACATCATAAAATGTTATTGAATACCGACCATTGCTAATCATCCGCAAGAAAGAGTGCTTAGAAAAAATAAACATTTCTATTTTCAATAACATTGTTTTTAAACTTTATTTACAATGAATCAATACGTGATATACGTTCGTATATGTGTTATTTCTTATGAAATTCATAGAAAATAATTAAAGTTTTTCAAGAAATTGTATACTATCAGATCTCAAACTTTTGAATAGGTATGCCTCCGTTAAATTGTCGTTTGTGACTTCTTTTTTGTGAACTTCCTTACAAATAAAATAGCATGGACATCCCCAGCGAATAAATATCGAATTCTTATCAATGATTTTTGACGAAAATGTGGTTTTTGGTTACGAAATAAGTGCGTCCCATTAGATTTAAATATTTTTCTATAATGTCGCGAAAAAAATTTTATTCTCTACAAATGTGCTTTAATTTTGCAGTTTATATATCGACCCCTCCTACGTAAAGTATCGTAAGTCGAAATTGCCAAGTTTACAGGGAAACGTTTAAAAAGTTTTGAATTCACTGAAATAAGCATAACACGGACTTTAGCATTTCACAATATGTACTGTGGTTGTTCATCTAACCGATATCTAGGATTTTATAATACTCTATGTGAGTAACGAGCTTTGCTTAATAAAACTGAGAAATGCTAAAGTCACGTGTTATGCTCATTTCAGTGAATTCAAAACTTTAAAAGGCTCCCCTGTAAACTTGGCCATTTCGACATACGATACTTTACGTAGGAGGAGTCGTATATTTATTTTTTACTATAAAGAACAATAGAATACACAGAAGTAAGTAATAATTTTAAGTATTCAAAGTACCAAAATAGTTTCGTTATCTATTTCAGTAAATTTTATTGTCACTTTATGCACCGGGTGATATTTTTTTTATTTATGTTTTATTCATTATGCCTATTATTTAATTTTTAAATTATAATTTTAACGTCTACACCAAACGCATAATATTGTATGTAAGATACTATATGACTTCTAGATCATTAGAAACGTAAAATGTCAAAACAAATTATGTCGAGATGCTCTAAGGGTGAGATTTATACAACGAACTTTGACTGCGACAGCAAAAATGACGAGCTAAGCAAATTTTTCGTATTTACTAATCGAACTTTGCTTAAGTTTAAGCAAGAAATTAAATGAAACTTTGAGTTTACTTCGAATTTTTTGCTTCGACTTACACAAACTTCGTTACGTAAATACGAAAAACTTACTTATCTGGCCATTTTAGCTTAGTCGAATTCAAAATTCGTTTTATATATCCCAAAGCTTTCCTTAAAATGCCAAACAAGCAAAGTAACAAATATGCGAATTGTAATTAACGCAGTAAGTAATAAAACACGTGTCTAATATATTTATCTTTTAATGAATAAATCGTTATTGTAAATCTTACATATATTTTCTTCTTTGTTATAAGTACAATCGATACAATCAATGATTCCGCCAACATCAAATTAAGGAAGACACGTTTTTATTATAAATATCAATTTGAGTTTTTTATCTTCTGTGTATATTTGTCAAAAACAAACGTGTATACATATATAGCGTGTAAGTTTTTTTCCATTTATTATTATTCATCTTTGTGATTAATCTTTGTATTTATACCTATAGTTTAAACATAATTTTAAAAATTAAGATGTTCATCACAGTATTCTTGTGTTATATTGAAATACCCTTTGTTAAATCAGTACTTATGTATTGATATTTATGTGTATATTATATAGTGTATATTTATGATATAAAAATGAAATACTGAACCAAACCACCATAAATACAACAATAAATACGTCTACTATTTAATACCATTTTTTAAACACCGAGCGAATATTTCAATTCTGTAATGAATGGCGTGTGCGTTGATGACCCGCGCTATGCAACGTGAATGCACCGCAAGATTATGCGAATGTGTGCATCCGTACAGGGCGCGGCGGGCGTGCACACATACAAACTGCGCAGCTACGTTTGTGTGGAGTTGCCCTACGTGTCTTCATTACACTATGGTACTGACCTACACGTAAGTAATATTCTTGTATAGGTTAACTCTTAAATGAACTAAACGCATAGGTTTATGAAACCAAAGCCAGTTTCTCGCTGTAAGTCTTAATTGTAAGTACAATATAACGATACGTTAAAATATTCTGCGTAGTTCGTAGTCTTACATTCCTACCGTAAAATCCATAAGTAGAAATAATACATAAGTTTCCTACGTGAGAGTCAGAATGGCGGGTGTACCTTAACGGATCCTGACACATTTGATATCAAAATATGTACCTAATTTGTACTATTTAGTACCTCTGCTTAAAAAATTTGTACCTCCATCAGAACTAAGTTATAGCAATATCAAAGGTACACCCGCCGTATTGATTGTCAGTATGGCGGGTGTACCTCGGATTACCAGTATTTATTTAATAACTATAAAAACTTCTTATTCTTAAAAAAATTGTACCTCTATCATAACGAAGTTTAGCGAAATCGAAATTGTAAATATCTTCGTAATTTTTTTTAAATAGACTTCCGCCATTTATTTGGGTAACTAGGCAAAAGTTCCACCACGCGGCCTCTTCATATGTCAGTATTTTTCCTTGTTTTGATGGAAAAGGTGACAAGCGCCTGTTCTTATATAATTTATTTCATATGAACGGTTGATGCCATTTAATTGTATAGGACAGGGAACGCGTCTATGTTTTTCAATAAGCACGTCTTTATTGATTTAGTAGGTTGATTGACATTTATATTATATATTTAAATATTCTCACTAGAATACGTATTTCAATATGTTGTTATATTAATAATAAATAAAGCTAGGGAGGGGCGGAGAGTGACCATAATCGTTACTTTTTTATACTCTGCTTTGGTAAAAGGTCAGTTATCTACTGCATTTTTACATGGTGCCAAGCATTAGAATTAGTTTAAAATCCAACTTCGACTTCCTAGGTCAGTTTTGTCCTGAGATGCAGTAAAACTATTTCCGGAAACCACGAATTCGAAAAAGTAATCAATGAAATTTTGGTCGTTTTTAAAAAAAAATACGAAAATATTTACAATTTTGATTTTGCTATAACTTGGTTATGACAGAGGTACAAATTTTTTAAGAATAAGTACAAATACTATAGAATATAATAATAGAATAAGTACATTTTTTGGTACCAAATATATCAGGATTCGTTAAGATGCACACGGCACTCTGAAATCTGAACATATTTTGTCTTATTTCTCAGAAACTAACCGGCAGATCGAGCTGGAGATTCCTTCAGGGTACTAATAAGGCACAAATTTTTAGAATAAGAAGTTTTTTTTTGTTATTAATTAAATACTGGTAATCCGAGGTACACCGGCCACACTGACAGTCAATACGGCGGGTGTACCTTTGATATTGCAACAACTTCGTTCTGATGTAGGTACAAATTTTTTAAATAGAGGAACTAAATAGTACAAATTAGGTACATTTTTTTGATACCAAATTTGTCAGGATGCGTTTAAGGTACACCCGACATTCTGACTCTCACGTTTCCTACTTGTCTGTTTCCTGTTGTAGTGATTTACTATTTATATATGCGTATTTAGTATGCAATTGGTGTGGTTCTCAAGCACATTATTTATTTATTTGATGCTGATATTATCATTATTACTCTAGTATTCTATAAATGTACTTACTTGCTCATTAAGTATTCTACTATCACTTTGATGGCAAGTCAAATGTTAACAACTCAGTTCTCCGTCACCTTGTCGACGTTGCCTATATAGTCCATTAGCTCCCACTGCGTGAAATTATGACGACAAAGCTACATAATCACATTGTTTATAATGTTTAATGTTAATGTTTATAATAATTAAGTTTATTGAATATCACGATGTTTTTTTACTACTACGTTTTTTAATTATTTTTGTGAAATTACTCCACTAGTTCGTTATAGTTATTAATACAAAGGAAGATCACAAAGAAATCTTAGCTACGGTATGGCGAGATCGCTGGTTCGAGTCCTGCCCGGATCGAATTAAGTTTTCTTTGTGTTCGATTTTTGTATTAATAATTATGTATCCCCGCTAACCACACGCAAAATAGGTGCCTAGACAAGTACATATAAATATAATACATTGTTTTTTTGTAATGGAACAGTATGGGGAAATTCAAAACCATAGAAGATACAAGGAAACTGTCTTAGGAACCATTCTTTCTTTTTTTATTAAACAATTTTGGCATAGTCAATTTCTGGGTCAAGCGTGAGTTGTCCATAAAAATAAATAAAATTATTCAATTTTTTTAGTTCTAACCGACGCAGCTTCATGAAAGGATCATTTCATTGTATGGGACGAAAAAAATCGGAAGCAGAAGTTGGTCAAATTTCATAACGTTCGTTTTTCACACGGAATAAATTTGATCAATTTTTCCCATAGTTGTCCATAAAAATTTATTTTTATGGACAACTCACGCTTGACAAAAAATTGACTATGCCAAAATTGTTCTCACAAAAAATGACTTAATGGTTCTCATGTGTCTTCTATGGTTTTGGATTTCCCCATACTGTCCCATTAAAAAAAACACAGTATAAGTGCTTTAGCCTGCCGACCCTTTACAGTATTTACAATGCCAATGTGATGCATCCAACCTCTTAATGAAAAAACTTGCCCTGAAATGTGATAAGGTTGCAGTTAAATGTAATAGTGTAGGATTACACTATGTAGTCTTAAATGTAGACCTTTTTGAAACATACAGCAAATATGTTGGACCAACAACAGGAATACGTGAATATTGCGTAAACATCATTGATTTTAAACTAAAGTTGAGTATGGACTAAAAATGCTTGCGGTCCAAGATATTTTTCCAAATGTTTGTTTGCTATTTGGTCCAAAATATTTACTCCCAGTTGTATGAGCATTTCTTAACCATTTAGTAGGTACTGTAGTTTCAACAAGATGTGGTGTAATAATTTGTAATTAAATTTTAGGATTCTAACTTACTAAGGGATAAAAAGAAACCCGTGATTCAATACCAAATAGTAATTTTCTTGTATTTCATGCTTTGAATTCGACTCTGTGCCCTTACCGATAAGCACGGTTCAATTTACTGTACTTGCTTGCTCAATTTAGAGCCTATGCACACGGCAGAATATTTACGCGCGGATGACGCACAGAACAATACGTGTGTTTGAAACGAGATTCAACCGCAGCCAGTAAACTTTTACATAATATGTTCTTGTTGAGCCTCTACGGCCCCGTAAACGCGCATTCGTGAAACGTGCGTCGTCGCAGGCGCGTAAAAAATGCGCCGTGTGCATTGCCGTGGAACGGAATGGAAATGAATGCGGATCGTAATAGAAATGTTTCAAGTGTAGTATAATGAAGTTTATGGTAATTACGTAACGTACTATGCGCGACTTGATTTTTGGCTCGTATCTAGTTTGCACATTACACATTTGACATAAAGTTCATTATAGCACAGTTACAAAAATTCATTTCCACTCAGTTTCGCGGCAATGCAAATTGAGCCTATACGAGTAGTACGGTACACGCTGATAACGTGTCTCAGCTAATATGAGCATTGTATAATAATAAGACATGATAACTCGATACAATCGTAGCAGCGCGGCTTGTATGTGCATATTAATGAAAGGCGCATGAGATAACCAACGCTATGAAACGCAAATTTACTGCGAGATCATGCGAATGTGTGCACGTGGCGGGCGCGTACACGTATCAGCCATACTGCTACGTTTGTATACAGTTACCATACTTGTCTTATTATTATATATAATATGAGCTTAGGTTCGTCTCAGCCATCGAGTATATAACCAGTCTCAGCTTACTCCAATGGGATAGTAGCGTCAATTATAAACATATAGGTACATATGTGTGAATCTGGGTATAAAGGAAAAGGAAAAAAGGGTTATTGGAAATCAAAGATAAAAATTAACACATTTTACATATATTTACTGACAATATTTACACAATAATTTTAGTGACCACACTTATATTGACCTAGGCGTATTGTATGAAATGTGCATCAAGTAGTAAATGTAATTGAATTACATTACAAATAGTAATAATTAGATTTAGAGTGTTTGGCAGGATTTTGCTTGACAAAGTCACATTCCAAATAGCAATAATTAGATACATTGGATGGGTAAAACACAACCTTTACATAAAATATGAATAATATAAATACAAACTGTAATTTATAACAATTTCTATAAGATTATAATAAATTGAAATAAATAGTTACATGCAACAATGTGACCGAAAATCGAATTAATAATAAGCGCGGTCAATAAGATATCCCCGCAAAGTTAATTTGGCAACGAATTATTTAATAAATTTTACTAAATTGGCACAAATTTCTAAAAAACAAATTTATAAAATTGCATCCAATAAATAAATTTCCTTACATATTCTATACAATGTAATAAATTACCACAATGATATCATTAGCATTATAATGTAAGACCTAATAAAAACTGCCCATACTATGTATAAAATGTAATCATAATATATTTATTGGTACATCGCCATAAAAATTATGTGGAAAAAAAGTTGTACAATTCACTAATAAGTACATCTCACTACAAAATGTGAGCTTCAATTTCCTTGAGTTGATTGACTTAGAACACAGTTATTGTGTGCTTCGTTTCAGAACTGAGCGTTAAAATGCTTAACTAAAATTGGAATATAAACATTTGTAAATTTCATATAAATAATGACAGTGCACCAGGTATTTGCTCGATAAAGCAGAATCTCTAATATAATGCTATTCACAGTCTAAAAAGAGAAAATAATAGCAAACACGTCCCTTCTAATGTCTAATACATGCGTAATTATGTGATACTGGCTATGCAGTATAAAAAGCATCGATCTCAAGTTTTGCATGCGAAATAATTTTAATCGCGATTGTGATATGATGTGTAGGAAACAAATGTCACGATCGTAATGATTTTGAGATCCATTTCGGCGCGAGGTACTTATGAAAGCTTTCAGAACTTGGTTCCGAGTAACCACCAGCCCCATACGCTTCCTACTGCACTAATTCTAACCATATTAGGGATCACTACGAAATGTTTCTTCCCGTTCACTGGTTCACATTGTTTTAAGTATCACACGTCCTCCTTTTTCTTTTCACATTTAATGACATACTAATGTATTTACTGCCGGCACTATACAAAGTCATTTGTACCGGGAGTATTGAGCGGTTCTTGGGCCTGCAAACAAAGAAAACATATATTAGAAAATGTGTTCCACATCTTAATATTGCTACATAACTAAGATTCTTCTACAGTATTATCGTCTATGCAAAATAAATCTGCCTCCTCGCATAAAAATACTCAACATCTACTATTCTAAAATATAACCAAAACTTACCAAGAATAGCCCTCGCACGTTAATGCATGAAAAATAAATGTTTTACAGCAGTAAAATTTATAGTTATATAAGCAAAAGGCAGAATATAAAATAATATTACATATCCGCTAATTCAAAGGGACTATTTACAGCGTTTTACACCTACCATTTATAACCAATAATTTGGCAACTATGATTTAATACTGATGCGGTAAAAATGTTGGCACATTTTAATTGCCAGACCTTAAATCTAAACAAAAATAGTATCTATAAACCTCATAAAACAAATCTAGACCTAGTAATAAATATAACTCTAAATAAGTACATCAAGTTTTAAAATGTCTTAGGCAGACCTTAGAATTTTAGCAATCTTATGTTTCTTGTTTATTCAAGAAAGGTTATCCTTGGTATTATTATTTACATTAATATAATTTTGGCCATTTAGTTTTTGGGGTCTTATGAATTTTCATTGTACACGATATATCGAGGGATGTCTCGAAAATAAAATTCTGTTTTGATTTAATAAGTTCAATATAAAGTTGTGCCTGAGATCTAACTCCTGAACGAAGAATCGAGATTTGCGCGACTTATCTAAGGCTGTTCTGAATATTAAGCGTACACTCCATGGCAGTAAGCGCTCTCACCTCTTCGCCCACCGTGCTGGGGTATAACTTGCTACCGGGTGCGTAACCATTTTTCTCCAGAGCAAATTGGTCCTCCGTAGTTTTGCGATACACAGGATTATCGAAGTTCATAGAAGTCACGTTGCGGTGCACGTAATGCCGGTACATAAACACCGCAATCTGAAATTATGCCAACGCACACATTAGACCCCTAATGTACTAGGGACGATTTCTACGTGATCACGGATAGCGCAAGTCAAGGTGGCAACGTACTATTCAAAGTTATATTCATATAGTCCTATAAAAAAGCATGGACACGATAAGAATAGTTTGACCCGTAAACTACCGGACGTGTAGATGTCCCTTTCTCGAGGGCTTTGTCGGCATAAAACAATAGCAATTAAAACAATTTGACGTCAATTAAAGTGTAAATGATATGATCGAATACAATTAAGCGATTGACTACACCAATTTATCAATTGGGGGCGTTCGAGAATATTTCTTAAGATACAGGCCTATATATATTAATTAGGATTTAAGATAAATTAATTACACCTGTGCGTGTATCTCAGTGGCGTAGCGTTGATTTCAGCCGCCAGGGGCAAACTTTAAATTTCAAAATAGTAAGGGCAACTTTCTATTTTCACGATTACAAAAGTAGTTCGTTTGGACAAGGTCGGCTCGTTTTTGTGTTAGCCTCGTCGCCACCTTAGTGTTGTTTAGGATATCGTTTTCTCAAAATAGTGGAATTTATTTTCTCATTTCAAGTAAAAAGAAATAGTTTTGACTAGTTAGGGCTCACCGCCGCCCACATTGATGTGCCGCCCGGGGCCATGGCCCCCTCTGCACCCCCCACGCTACGCCACTGGTGTAGGTATCTCTTAATTAATAAAGCTTTGTTTATAATTGATCATATAACATATCACACGATCTTATCGGAAGTGCATTACGTTTAAGGATTAATTTACATTGCCGCAGATGCGAATTTTTTAATCCATAGGTGAACTTTATCAATTGTGTAACATACAAACTAGATACAAATGAAGAAACATGTCGCGCGCGTCTTCCGGAGAAATCTCACGCAATCTTTAAAATTCCCGCAGCTACCGTAACGTATCAAGTTTGAAAGTTATACGTACCTATACCTAAAGTTAATTGTACTATGTACCATTTCGTTAAAAAAAATTGGCTATATATTCCTTTCCGCGGCAATGTAAATTGAGCTTAGTTATTATAGACTTTTGAGACCGTCAACTCTGAAAAGCGAAAGTTACATTAACGTTGGACGATTCATTGTGTCTACTACTACCTACGTGAGAAATAGCAACATTTTAATCAAGTAATTGTGACTAAGGTCCGTATCAATAAAAAGCTTCTAACCCGATGTTAAATGCGTATGGTTGAGATAACACTCAGATATCGAGACAAACTCTCATGTATTAATAAACTAATTATGGGTATATTGAATAAAATGAAAGTGACGAAAACCCAGTCGAAAAGCGTGACAAGAGGCTTATAGGTGACTCGGATTTAGTAGAGGCTAAGCTGCAAAGCCTTGAATACTGGAGTAAAATTCCCTGCTTATCGGTGTTCTATAGGATATGTCATGGAGAGTGTTGCGATGGACTTGCATGATTTAATTCCGCCTTCCCCTTTCCATCACCGTGGGACTAGACGTAGGCTGGGGTTCCGCCCCTATGTTGTGGATATTTTAAGGATTCACTCGAAGCGTTTCGCTTCCAATATATAAATGGCGAACGGCTAAGGAGTGGAATTCCCTGCCTGCAGACTTTATTCTCCGAACGCTGTTACTTGGGCCCTTTCAGGCCTAGAGTTCATAGGCATTACTTAGGTGTGCATGCTACGATGAGATGAGATGGAGGTCAAATGCAAACTTATTTTTTTTATAAAAAAAAACCTTGCGCTCGATTGATAAGAACTTAATAACGATCTTAAAACGTAGTGCTAAGTGACCTTTAATTAGTAAGCGGAAATATTTTGACAACTCTAAAATGATGCGTAACCAATGAGTAATCGTTGACGTGTTAGGTAATTAGTTAATAAAGACGCCTCCCGTTGATGTGACCTTTATTACTAATACGGCCTTAGTAATTTTATTAACTAGTCCATGACGTTATGTACCGAACCCACATAAAACAAATAGTTTGCCAATATTCATAAATCACAACAACCCGTTCCGGAAAACCATTAAGTTCTCATAACAACGTGGCCTGATTTCTTGGCACTATTAAGTGTCACACGATCCGAAAGTAAGAATCGTCAGACAATGCCACTTTGATGAGCGCTAGCTGTAGCAAACATCTTCTCCGCCACTAATATTTAGTGAGATTCGTTCACTTACATGTATTTCATTTGAGAATTTTATTTTGCGTAATATAGCAGGTGTAATGTCGTTATGTAAGGTGATTATTTGGTTTTAAGGTACCAGTAACGCTGCTGTTTGAACGTTACTGGAATGGATCTAATTTGATCTTTTGACAAATCTTTGCCAAATATAAGGTGATTATAATTATAACATACCAATGTGCCCAATATGATTACGCCAGAGATTACAGCCGCAACGATCCCGGCAACAACGCCTGCGTCGCGACCGTTTGGAATTCCAGCGCCAGGCTTAGGCGCTCCTTCTGTTACATCTGTAATTTAAAGCAAACTATTTTAAAATCTATATACTTAATCGGAATTTGCTTTGATCTTTGCAGCGCTTTTGGTCAAGATGACATCTATAATCCTGATAGGTACGTGTAAAATTTCTATAAAATGTTTTTGTGATTTTGTTGCAGTGGAGCTCTGCAGAGACCTATAACTTAGGTACTTAGTTGATTATTATAAAAACAAAACACGTTAATCACATTGTTAAACCTCCACCTCCGAAGCAGTCACAAAAGTAGGAAAATGTTATAACGTTAACACAAGAAGCGAAGTAATGTGTATTTTTTTACAGTTTTGGTTTGTGTAAAGATTTAGATTCCTCAGCATTGAACAAAGATGGCAGTAAACATAAAATTCCGCTTACGTGGTAAATAAACATCGTAAGTTCCTCATTAAATCAAACATGACTTGTACTATTAGCAAGTTCAGTGTAGTTTTACAGCTGTCTAAACTAAGCAAATATATGCAAGTATATTGACGTAAAAAAAATGTTTGCATTGAGTTAATGTACGTTAGCGTACATTAATAAAATTACAATAAAGATTTTTCTCATTTTCATCAGAACATTTTTCTATTTAAGCTGTACCTGCTTAAACATTGACTTAAAAAAAATCAGTGACAATTTTGTGGGCGTCTTAAGCCCGCAAGGCGTTCTATTTACTTACTATTTACTTACTATTTTACAGTCTCAATGAAACGTGCCAACTCGTAGGTATTAGTTACTTTTAAATATGTGAACCTAGATTTAACAGGTACTACATACAATGCATGATTTGCATCTGTTGACATAGGTAACATAGAAGAGACAATTATAAAACAATAAAAGGACAGGAAGGATGTGAGACGATGAAAAAAATGTATGAACACCCTACAGGATTTTGACATTATGTTGTTGTACCCATATTGTGATAATGGTGTAGCCCTTTTGTTATTTTAATTTTACGAAGCGGCTGTTACAAGTGACGTACAATAGTGTCGTTTCAAAAACGTTTAAATTGAAATAATATAAAATTTTGCTGCGCTTAAGTTCATTTCTATTGTGTATTGAATGCAATATATCGGATGTTAGTAAGTCATTGCTTAGTAATAGTGAATTTTAGTAGTCACATGCATTCAGTTAAATAAATGAATCCGTGTGTCTTCTTTTTATCAACTACACAAACTAATTTCGGAAATGATCATTAAAAGTTTTTTTTGCATCATATACGGTACCTGCCCCTGGTAGAATGGCGCCAAAACTATGAGGAGTACTCGTGCTTGCATCAATGCGTTGGATAAGTTCAGGCATGTACACTAAACTAAGTCTTTCATAATCGTAATGAGATTCGGCAACAGGATTGTCAGTCGTGTCTGGTATTCTATCCAGACCCAATTTCTTCAGGAACACGTCTTTGAAAGGTTCGTTATTCTTCAACAATTCTTCTTGATCATTTTCCCAATAAGCCGTCATTGGTTTAGTTTCAATGTTTTCAGTCTTAATAGGTAAAGCGATAGGTTCCTCGGATGGCTCTATATCTTCGTCGCTTTTGATGAGTTCCCGTCCGAACTTCAAGATATTGCGGAGAAGGCCAAACCCTTCTCTTTTTAAATTCACCATAAGTGTTTAGATGCTTCTTTGACAGTTCACTTCCGAAACAGTAACTCATCAGTTTGATAAATATGGTAATCCCTGCAAATCAGTCAATGAATCCCATGTTGAAGACACACAGATATTTTAACATTCACTATGATTTACAGGGTTAGTGAGCAACTTGATGAATGTTAGTAATTGCTAAAGTTGTCCCCGATCGTCCAATTATATAGTAATTTTGTTATCTTATCAGATTCGATGACTCATTTAATCAAGATTTATGTATTGGATCAAATTTGCGGCATTTATAAACAAATTGCTGGCATGCCAATACACCGGTGTAGTAATTATTGCATTACTACATTTCAGTGGTTTGCACGTTATAACAGAGAAAGGCAAATAGTCACAGGCAAGGTCTATGTATACCTTCACATTTACTGAAGTTTAATCTAACCTCAAAGTTACAAATTTGATCCATGAATGAATGGTCAGGTAGAGGAAAGACGGGAGAAGATACAGGTTAAACAAAAAACAGGAAAAAGGCTCTTCAAAGTACTCACTGGTCGCAGGTGCTATCGTAGTTATATTAATTTCATAGTGTTGATAAGTTGATTTATGCACCTCCACATCGGGTTTTATATCTGCAGATTGTAGTAGAAATATACTTTAGATTGAATCCTTTTATCATTTATTGTTGCAGGTTCTGTTTAATATTGTTGTATATTTTTTAAACTAGTGGAATGGTTATTGCGTGCAAGTTCGCCAGCCGGAATGATGTAAATTCAGCGTGAGCACGGAGCGAAGCAGAGTGTCGGCCTGCGCGCGCGCTACTAGTGGATTGATCCGTCAATGCTCGCCGAAACCGAACCACTCATTCCGTCAGCAATTCACGCTGCTATTCGCTATCCGACGCAATCCGACTCAGATGATTTCTTTTCATTTTTATGCAAGAACACACGATTTTTTCTTAATTTAGAATTAATCTTTGTATCTTTTTCACAGTTATTGTTGTCTTGAATTGATTATTCATTATTATTATTAATTTATATCAATCATAATAGTCGTAACAATCTACTAGTACTATGAACAGGACAGTTTCGAGAAGTTTGTTGTAACAAGAGGGGGTATGAGTTAACGGCATGCCGGATCGCGTGGCGAGTGGTTTAACAAAAGGTGGCGTGACTCTGACGTCATCTCGCCTTATTCACTAACGATTGGGCATTGGACGGTTGGTGCGTGGTTCAATCTGCTGTCTCTCTTACGCATTCGATTCACGTATGAGGTCATTCGGTACAGTTAAACCTAAATTTCTATTAGATCAATCTGTGAATCATTGTTTTGCTTTTTGCCTTAGTTGACAAAGTAAGACTTATTCACACTTAATATCATCAGCACATTATTGCAATGCAACTTAATATTATCAGGTCATTATAGCAATGCAGTTAACTATTAAGTTCATAGGCCACGAAATGCATTAATAGTTACATATATCGCTAATTAATCTATCATATCGACAATTAGCGATTTATATTTTATGCATACCTACATGTAAATCAAATTAATTTATTTGTGATAAAACACTTCGCGACTTATTTGATAAATCTGTAAATGTATTTCCTCTAATATGTTCAAAAGAATAATTGGTCGTATTATTTTATAAAAGATTAAGATATATAATCAGTTATTTATATAAAAGGAGTGGTATTTTCTTAAGTAGATAGATACGCTCAATTATTCCTTTTCGTACAATTGATTGTATCGTCGATGTTTTGTAGAAAAGGCGTAAGCGACATGTCGTAGATTTTCAGCGATCATGTTTTAGGTTTTCAGAAATGATTTAAAATTCAATTTTCGTTTTGATTAAGTTTAAGTTTTGAAAATCTACGAATTGTCGCTTACGCCGTTTCTACAAAACACCGACGGTATATGTAACCATATAAATAGATATATGTATTAGCAATTCATTGAATGAGCGTACAAGTCATAACAATTCCGTACGCTGAAGTGTATGCATAACGTGTAAGATAAAAAAATAGTACGACGTATCTTTACGAGCGAGTGACGAAAATATTACGTGGCATAGTATGATACAAGGCCGAATCAGAGATAGCTGCGTCATTTTATTTTTAACTTGGCAAAAGTCAAGTGTAGTTTTTGTAAATACTGCACGAGTTCCTTCACATTGTCTATTATCAAAATTTTTTATTAATATAATCAAATTATTATTTTATTAATATAAAAAAAATTAATATTTATTTCATAATATAAATTTATTATTTTATTAACGCTATAATAAACAGCATTTAATTTTCGACCTATTACTGAACAGTTTCTCTTTATTTCATATTTTTTGCAAATGGCTCTTGTGGGATGCAAAATAAAATTAAATCTGTGTAACGGCTACGGAACCCTACTATGGGAGTTTCCGACAGTTTTTCTAACGAATGACTAAAATTAACAATTCAGGTCGATGACGAACATGACGAATACGTCAACAGATACGATGTTCATTCAAGAAAACATCATCTTAGAATTGAGAACCTACTTTTTTTTAGTCGGTTAATAAAATCAACAGACTTCTAAATTTGAATTTTGCATTCGTTTTGAGAATACCTAGTCTATAGTAATTTTAACCATAATTTTAGAATAACTATGGGTTCCGACACGGCACTAATGCGTTAACAACTTGCAACATTATTGATGTGTCGGTATGTATGTAGCGAATTCAATTTGACGAACACATTGTTTGTTTTCTGTTTACCCAGTTTGGCAGTAGAAATTGAAACTGACAAAACAGCCTCGTGTACGATCAGAGCGTAACTGATACTAATATTTATCTTAATATAAATAAGATGAAAAATGACTAATTGCAAGTTGTTGTTGAGAGTAATCCATCGCAAACTACGGAGGAATTAGCAGCGTACAAACCGCAGTTTTGATGATGATGATGATGCACACAATAGATACTCATTCATTTGCGCCTAATTAGTAAAATAGGAAATATGAGTACACGAGTTGTCCGAATTACTACAGCAGGCAACGCGTGTTGAAGCTTGCACTGCCTTCACGAATCGACACGGAGATGAAGGAGTTTCGGACCGTATCATTACTTAAGATGCAAAATGGACTCTTTATGATAATCACAAACGATTAACAGTGTTTGAAGGCTAATGACCCCAAACAATGTTCAAGTGATCCAGCTGCGGAGCACACAATAGCTTTCTTAGATCTGGTACATCCATGACAGTCGATTGCTATTATGAAGAATAATGCGACCGATGAAGTCTCGCCAAGTACCTTGGCCAGGCAACCAATCTTCACAGCTAGTAGCACACACTTCACAGTAGTAGTAGCCTCACATGCCGTCGGCTGAATTTGTAAACCTCGTAAAACAGAATTACTAGAAATAAATATACGACAATCTATGATTATACCCTTACTTTATGACTAAAAAGAAATTTTAGAAATTATATTTTAAGCTTTAATTGTCCGACATTGCGATTGAAGGGTAAATTAAATGGAGATTACGATACATTTCACGCCATTTTTTCCAATCGGGACAGGCAAAGACGACTCCTGCCGTTGCTAGTTCATTCGAGAAAAAACTACCGCCGAAAAAAATCTTCGTCAACCCATTCCAATTATTAGAAAATTATATACAGTGCCACTCAGTGCTTTAAATTGTAAAGATCTGAGGGGCACTGACACTGCCCCCGTCACCCTGAGACATAAGTTGACAAGTCCCACGTGCCGGTAATTTCACCCGCACCCTTACCTTTCAAAACCGGAAGCAATAATGCTCACATTACCGCTTGACGGCAGAAATAGCTAAGGTTACGAACTCTTAAACTTGGTTCTTATAAATGAGCTTCAAGACTTGCGTATTTTTGTTCCCCACTAAAAAAGAATAAACGAGCTTCAAGCAAGATGGCAGACGTTCATAGCATGGGTGATTGACCAAACAAATTAATATTAAAAAAATTGGAATTCTACGTGTATACAGCGACAATTTCGTACTTTAAATCCTATTATCTTCTAATGAGAAAGTCACATGCTACATAATCTGTTAAAAACGTATTAAGTAACCCAAAGTCATGTTGAACCTGTTTAGAAAAAATACCTAAAATTTTTCGATCATTATTTATATCTGAAAATATTACCAACATAGATAAAAAAGATAAGATAGATATAGCGAAATCTTCCACTGATCGCGATCATACAACTACGCGTGATTTAAATATGTTTAAACACAACACGCCTTATACAGGTACAAAATTTTCCAAGTAACTTAACAATCCTAGCTATGCGGCTTGAATCGAGTGAAGAAAAACATTTGCGAATCAGTTCACAACATCGTAAAGGTTACATTGTAAAATTTGCCTATCGGCTGTTTGTAAGTAACGTAAAAAATACTTTTACATATCTATTGTATGTACAAATTCCTTTGTATTTGAAGAATTCGCTGTACAGCTATTGACTGGTGAACATTATCCTGGTAGATGACAACCACAAAAATGCACAGCTTCGGACGTAAATACATAGGGCAAAATATGAAATTCAAGCCTGAAAACCACACTTGAGCACAGAAATTGATTACAAAACCAATGTAATTAACTCTTACTCCCACTCGTTATTGAACTCTATTTCGTGGGTAGGAAGATTGGGGCCTTGGTATAACTTTGCAATCCTTACATGACCTTAGGTATTGCTCATGATGATGTTGAAATTGTGCGTCATTATTTATTCGTCAAACGTGCGCAATTGGACAACGTCATACAAATAAACCTCAATATTATTTCTTATCTTTAAATGCTGTGGGTTACCACAGCTACCTCCACAGTTACCTCCTTTCTACAAGTTTGGGGATGAAGAATGGATAAATGTATTTTATTACGATACCATTAAATCACACCGTGTACTTAAAACGATTTTGTTTCTGGGTGATCATCATTTTCTACTTAGTTCAAACTGCAAAAGCTTTGATTTTGTGGCCAGGATAAGGAAAACGAAATCAAATTTGTACAAATTTTCCGGTCTCTACGTGAATACTAAAAAGGAACATTATATTTCAAATCAATAGTAGATTTGAACCAAAATTGAAAAAAATACCTAGAAATGTATAGATTTGTAAGATTATGTAAATACCACTATGTAGCTATGTATTTTTTAAGGTACTAAGTGATGGGACGAACAAGTCGTGCGCCTGATGGTTAATTTTAGAGCTTTAAATCACAAAGATGCCTCTGCGCCCATCACCCTGAGACATAAGTTGACAAGTCCCATGTGCCTGTAATCTCACCAGCACCCTTACCCTTCAAAACCGGAACACAGTAATGCTCAGATTACAGCTTGGCGGCAGAAATAGATAAGGTGGCAGTACTTCCCTAAACGAACTCTTTCACAAGGAGCTCTACTGCTACTAAAAATACCACTGTAACAGCCACGAGAGCAAAGTTTCAGGGGTATAGCTACTTTTTTCTCCATACTTGCTGCTCATAAACAGAAACCAATACCGTCCAACCAGAAACAGAACCTTTTTGAAGTTACATAGTATTCTACAAATTTATTTTTATTTCTTACTCAATCTATTCAACTCGATGTCATAAAAAAGATCTTAGTAATTATAAATACTTCTATATATCGACGGGGATGGTGCAAATCTGCGTATGTAGTTATTGGTGAAAAGCGCGTATCTGCACCAAACCAGATTTCACAGGATTTAAATCCCTCATTTAACGTTATTACTTTGTTACTTCAATGGCTACTACTTTCGTTTTTACACAGTGAACGTTAATTTATGTTGTTTACGGACTGATAACAATAGATTCCCGTTAATTTGGTTGCCACGACATTTACCTACGCGGATTTCATTTGGCGACTAAAATACCGAAATGGAAACTCATAATTAAATGCTAGGTACCTACGCGTAATTGCACTATTCCCGGCGATATGTTTGTACCCATCCTTTTTTTTTTTTGTGTCGTTCTTAATAATGTGAGTGGGTACACATTTTTCGTTTTCATGGAATGTTGTTTGCCTTCCTAATTTACTGCTAAACACTTGTGCCATAATTACTTTAGATCTTGAATTTTCCACGGATGATTTAGTATTCATTAACATTATGACTTTAAAGAACGAACACAGAACACATATAATTGAATATGTGTTCGAAGATCTCTTCGACCTGTATTCAGACCAATAAATCATGAGTAAATGTTAGCAATGACGGTATGAGATATTCCATTCTAATACCAAAAACTAATACCGATGGTATTTGTTTCCACTTGTAATAAATTTTATATTCCTAACGAATACCAAGTTCTAAATGTTTCAATAATGTACCGATTCTATTCCCAACGAATACCAAAACATAAATTTTGGTACAGTCACAAACATTTACAATGGTTTCTAATATTTAATATTAAGTATTATCATAATACAATTTATTTGGGCAGTTTTTGTTGTTGTTGTAAGTTGCTTAAGTGAATCACATGACAAAATTTTTTACCTGCGAAAAGGGTCAGTTGCTTCGCTATTGTTTAAAAATTCGAAACAACCATTTACTGCAGATAAAAATTAAAAGTAAAAATAGCTAAGAACGCATCGTACCATTCCTGCGTATCACTGTCTACTGGAAACGTCTCCAGAAGGCTGGCAGCACTGATCACGTAAGGCGTCGATTAAACGCTTTAATAATTATTTATACAAATTTTTTTTTGTATAAATAATTATTAAAGCGTTTAATTTTTTTGTTGTATTTTGTAGACTTATCATTGTGATTTGCTGTAATTAAAAGCTTTATTTAGAGGTGCATACCTGCTACCTGCCAATAAAGCTTATATAGTTAGTTACCTACATAGGAATTATAATAATTAACCAAACATTTTCCTACTACACTTTTATTTGTTTAATAAGACTGATCTTGTTAAATTAAATATTACTTAAAACCACATTGAAAGCATTTTTATTACTGACTGTACCCTGATACCATTTAACTTGTTTTGGGATTCGTTTGTGAGCGGTATTCGTTAGGAATATAAAATTTATTTTAAGTGGAAACAAATACCATTGGTATTAGTTTTTGGTATTAGAATGGAATAGATCGACGGTATATTGCTTTTATTGACCTCTTTCAATTGTCCCCTTATCGTCGCATGAATGCGACCTGTTATTATCTCTGTATACCCAGTTATGGATAGGTACTTCCAGTTACATTGGACGCTTTGTAAAGATACCTATGGCAGTATGACCCTTGTCTCGTCTTGTCGACTTATCTCTGGGAATTTCGTTGTCTGTAGTATTTCTTATTTAATTATTTTCATTTTTAATTGGTTTACTAAACTTCTCATTACCTTTATAACGTACAGCATTGATGTTTATGATTAACTCTGCTTACACCATGTGTTCATGTTACTGAAATTCTCGAAAAAGAAGTAAAAATGGATTAGCTATTCGATTTAATACATAGGTACGTTCTTTTGTTTATACCGATAAGAATTCCTTTATATTGATTAAATCAAAATTAAGCTGGGTATAATCAGTGTTATCATACACATATCTAAACAGTTTATTGCCTGCGACTTATTTTAAACTTATAATCTTGACTGTCTAATACCTTTTGCGTTTACAGATTGCTACTAAACTTAATTACAAATTATTATTTATATTTTTTTATTAAACATGCTTCTCGCTTCTAATAAAGTAGAGTAGAATACCATACATTTCATGACCTTTCACCATTGGGTTAGGCAGAAACCACAGCTTTCCACATGCTGCGATCCTGGCACACATCTTTCGCTCGTAAGGTACATACATATATATATTTTTTATATGTTACCATCACGGTTGATACCAAGGTTGAAAAATTACCACATCTCAAGAAAAACAGTAATAGTAAAAAATATTGCAACAAACATCCTAATTATAGGTGTTTATTTATATCTTACGGTGAGTAAGTAAGTACCAACTTTTTGTAGTAGTTCTAATTAAAAACAAATTCGAGAAGTAACGACAAGACGTAATCCAACTTCTCACGTTTTAAAAATACGTCGTACAGTGGAACAAAAAGTACCTGTCGTTACCGCGGCAAGTATTATAATAATGAAATGGTACTTACTGTCCTCGACGCACATCTGGTTATCGGGTAGGAGACGTAAGCCGTTAGGGCAGGCACAGGAGACACGAGGAGAATGAGGCCCTATCCTCGGAGCTGGCAGACAAAGGTGAGAACAATGGCCGTTGACGGCAGCACAGTGGTTCACGCCATCAGGTTGACGATACGGATGATATACGTGGATAACCATCGGGTTTTGCAGCTGTTAGACAAAAATAAAAAGATTAAATCTTTGCAAATAGAGCTCCTTGTGAAAGAATTCTTCAGGGAAGTACATTACGAGCATTATTGCGTTTCGGTTTTGAAAGGTGAAATTGGTAAAATTACACTCATATGGGACTTGTCAACTTATGTCTTAGGGTACCGGACGCAGTGGCAGTGCCTCTCAAACCTTTGTGATTTAAAGCTTTAAGTGGCACTGCCACCATTATGGACAGCCGTGTCGCTTACCACCAGGCGCACGACTTGTTCGTCCTGTCACTTGGTATCATAAAAAATAAACCCAACAAGAATGTTTAACGTTTTATTTTTAGTGAATAGCATGATGTCCTTACTAACAAAAAAGTCAAATAATCTTTACTTCATAGGTAAGCAAATTACGCTTGAAATCGTCATACTGATTAAACTCTACTGCTCATTCGTAAGGCATATTCCCCTGAGAAGAACGAACGGTATTGGGGTATAGCGGTATAGAAGTATAGGGGTTGCTCTTTGTAAATATACATTTATCATTGCAATATTTAATTTAAACATCTTGGTTCGAGAATACCTAAAAGAGCTAAATCGATCACTACCACGAATTATTGTCGTCCAAGTGCGCAGAAGTTGTATAATAACATTTAGTATAAAGTTTTTGTTTCAGTATAGTTTTAAACCTCGTAAATGGCAAATTTTGAATAGCAATCGGAATATTATTATAGAAGTGTATACATTGCCCCTTAAATTAATTTGACACTTTATGAAGACGACTGTTAGGAACAGTCGTTTATTTATATTCCTCGTATTAACATAACTTAACATAAATAACATTATCATAAATGTGCTGTTATATTAGTGTATTGCCCTAACCGCACGTGAAAATACTCTACTAGTTTCTTATTGTTATTATTGACACAAAGATCGAACAAAGACAAAGAAAATATCCTTCGATCAGACTAGACTCGAACCAGTGCCTGTTGCGCGCTGTTACCGCTGTGCCAACTGAGCTACGGATCAAGCCAGCACAATCTTACGATTTTCTCTATGTGCTTGTTGTCCTTATATTTGGTTTAAACAGCAACGGCAAAAATATAACAATATTCAACGTTAATAAAAATCAAAAGAGCCCGGTGAGCTGTAATAAAGATCTAATTGCCCAGTACAGACACCAGTCTCTCAAACTACATTTAATATTGTTGTTTTTATTCAATGTAAGATCCGCTTCTTTGTCTTGAGGTAATGAATCTTTATTATTATTTATTTCTCGAATCGAGTATTTTCGATATAAATTCTTCGCTGCAAATTGCTATTCATGTTTATATTTGATTCATCGTTGTATGGATTGATTGGGGTCTACGAAGGAAGCGTCCTCGCACGACGTACCATTCCTTTCCTGTACGTCTGGCGCACCTTGGACAACAATTTCCAAGTACCTGAGAGTGGTTACACACGGCGAGTTTAAGCAGCGATGCAAATGCGATGCAAACGCGATGCAGTCGCTATACATGCACCTTTACACACGCGACCGATTTTAAGCAGCGATGCAAACCCGCGTCGCACAGTCGCCTATAAATCGCAAGTGTAGCGATGCAAACGCGCGTCTCACGAACGCGCGTTTGCATTGCTGCTAAAAGTCACCGTGTGTAACCACTCTTAAGCCGATTGGCAAATCCTTTCACCACGATGGCAAGCATATTATAGTGCATGGCATCGACGTGATAAGAAAGAATTGACAGTAATGAATGATGAAGGATAAAAATCATACTTTTTACAAATTTTCGACTTCGTCATTGATTCTTGTGATAACAAATAAGACATTTGTAAGTTTACGTCATAATACAAGTATTTTATATTACAGCTCTGCTACAATACAATATCACGTCAAAATGTTCCAAATGGTATTACGTCGTAATGACATCCGCCGAGATTATTAGAGAAATCAGTTTTCCTTGTATTTATCAATACAATAGATGTAGCAGCATCATCATCTACCCATTTACGTTCCACTGTTGGGCACGGGTTTATCAGGCCAGACCAGCGTGGGAGACTTGAGACTTCACACGTTTTCCGAAGGTTGTGAACCTACTTCGTCGTGCAGATTTCATCAGGACGTTTTCTTTCACCGACAAACTCATGGTGAATTTGAAATTAAATTATGATAAATAATGAATTCCGAGGAACTTGAGAGGTGCGAGCTAGGATTCGAACTAGGGCCTCTGCTTAAGAGGGACTCGGTGAAACCATTAGGCTGCCACGGCTTAGATGTCGCAGCATGCTTTGAAAAGTCCCCAATCCGCAAGACCCCAGGGTGGTGACCTTAAAACCGTGACCTGCATGGGTGCGCATTTGACCTCCGTCTCACCTGATGGAAACTGGCAATGAAGACTATGATGGAGCATGCACACCTAAATAATACCTATTCACTCTCGCCTTGGGTGCACGAATGGAGCCTCCTCGCAATGTGGCACTGTTTTCGTACTCTGTACATCTGGCGCGAAATTTTATAAAAAATGTGTTACTTATATATGTAGAACTCATTATTAAGATCTTTTTATTGTGTTCTTGTATCTATTTCAAACAAAGTAACCTAATGATCTCAATTTTGCATGCTGTTTCCAATTAACAATCTCAATTATTTTAGTTTTTAATGTAAGTGTAATTTTTAGTTTTACTCTAAGTTTAGTTAACGATAAAAATGGCTAATAATAGTTTTCGGTAAAATATAAATTAAGTTTGTAGACCTGGTAGAGCATTACGTCACGCGTACGTAAGATTTTTCAGAAATTTCAATATTTCGTTCCGTTATTTTCGTATTTTTATTTTCACAATTTTAGTATCTCATTAAATAATGCAGTAATATTCATATGGGATGTGGTGGGATGTTCTCCGTAATGAAATTCGTAAATTTTGGCTCGTAAGTTCTTCTTTTATTTTATTTCCAATTTTATAACGGAAAAAAAATGAGACACCCGTGAAAATCAAAATCTCTCGTCTCCCGGCTTTCCCACCACCCATCACCGTACTTCCTCTTCATTCTCTTACCCACTCATTCCTCTCCTTCACTCTCGTCAATCACTCCATTCATATATCATGCATTCTATCGCTACGTTCCTAATTATGTTTTTGAGGCTGCTTTCACTATTAAAATTATCCTACATTCATATTTTGAAAAGTGCATTTTTAATAATAAGCGGGTTATTTAGGGAAGAGTAATTATGAGAAGATAAATAATTTGTATTCAATATTTTCACGCATATTTTTACTTTTTCCACTCCTGAAACTATAATATTGTTTGCACGTTGTTGAAACAATTGCTGTTTGAGACGCAAATAATGTAGATCTATTGGCGGCCAATATGGAACTAAATATCCCACCCTATCGTATTCAGGCGGTACATTTCTTAGCCGCTTTGTTAAACGCCACGACGTACCTACATTTTTTACCCAACACGAAGTAGCCGTATTAGAAAACAGCGCCGTTTTACAAAGCGGCTAGCGGTAATCTAATACGGCCCTTTATACAATACGGATGCAACATATGCATCAAGTAGAATAAGAGTAGCAACAACTATTAATTCGTGTAATTAAAAGCAACAAGTATTAACTCACCGTGTGAGTAGAAGTAATAGCCTCAATATCTTTCCCGTTGAACTTATTGGCGCGGTAGACAGCAGTCTTTTCCCAATCGGTCCAGTATACCCAATCCTCAAAAGTGGTGATAGAGAAGGGATGACGAAGAACATCAGTAGAGTAGAGAATAACCCGTCTAGCAGAACCGTCGTAGTTGCATGAGGAAATTGTGTTCAACTTAGCGTCAACCTGTGAATATGAACAGTTTGTTTTCCATCGTGAGAATAATGAAATTAAATTAAATATATAACAAAATCGGTCATGTTGGTTTGTGAGACAGTCGTACCCGTTTGTGTAATAACAAAAGTAGTTGCCTGTAACTATAAGTAATTTACATTCCTAACAAGATAATTTAGTACTCTTTTTTGTTAACAGCACTGATTATTGACAATGTCAGTATTCTTCTTATTATCAGTATTCAGATGAAATTGAGTCATTGAAATCGCGTTACCTATAGAATGTCTAAATCTATCTTGTCAGCCTTTATTTTTGGAAGAAATATTAGATGAACCTAACTATATATTTTTAGAACATTAATTGTTGTTTTCCTTTTACTGGTTTAATACTCAGGGCAACATGTATGTGCCTACCTCTAACGTTTGTGCTTATAAATGATGAGAAATGGATTAATAATACACTAATAACTAGGTACACCCTTTATCGCGGGTGCCATGAACATACACATAGACAACCACAAATTACACCCAAACCCACACCATGAGATAAATAAATGTAGGCCATACAAATATTTCTCCCGGCCCGGGAATCAAACCAGGGACTTCATCAGCATGGTAACCGTTTGGCCACCGTGGCAGTTATTAAGGTAGATAAGTACAGTTAAGAGCACTTCAAGCTGACAATTTAAGCAAATCAAGTTCCATATTTTAATTTGCCGTAATGCAAAGGAATAAGTTGCGCCACTTAGTTAAATATACACACTTAAACTGCCTACCTACGAAATACCAATACCACTTCAAATGCAACGCCATATTATTTACATCAAGGTTAAAACAAAAGCTATCAATATCTATGACAAATCAAAATTCGCCATTACGATAGGATCTTATCTAAATTCCACGAGGTATTTTATTCGTTGTAGAAATAAAACATTACTGAGGATAGCAAATTCATGATTGGAAGATTATTTTTTTATCAAGATCGATAGAAAGACATTATATAAAATTGTGAAAAGCAATAAGCTTTATAAGTAGAAACTATTGTACGCTGAAACAAACTCATAACACGCGCTCTATATAACAGTATAATAACAAATGACTACACTATTTAAATAAGTTAACAGCCACTTGCGAAACAAATAAGAATTCTAATACACGTACCTATACATTCCTGGGCCGGGAGAAATATTTGTATGGCCTACATTTATTTCTCTCGTGACTTTGGGTGTAATTTGTGATTGTCTATGTGTGTGTGTCCATGGCACCTGCGACACAGGGTTTCCCTAGTGCGGGCCTATATTGAGTGTGTGAGTTATTATTAAAAAAAAAAAAAAATCTTGACACTTGTCACCTTTATATCTTTGTTTTTTTTTTGGAATGGCGAACAGCAATAGTAAACCCGTAGCGAAGTTATAGTCAATTAACCTCCATGAAAGTTTCTTATAATATTTACCCAAAAAAATAGGTACATATTTCCGATAACAATAATTGAATTTCAATTTCGCTACATTTAATTGCAGTCGAATGTTCCTATGTAAGCATTTCAAGTAAATATACTTCCGGACATATGATTCGAGTCACGTAGCGTTTTTTTTAATATATTCGTTATTTTCAAGGGGCTAGAATACAAAAATATTATTAAGTTTTCCCAAGTTTTACAAATCAATTTTTCAACAAGGACATGCGGAAATAACGTTTTGTATATACCAGCTTCCAAATTGAATTATTAGTTTCTGACCTATTATCATGATAATTATCCATGTTGGTTAATAGTTTTATCTTTTTTATCTCTTTATTTTTTTACTTAATGACAAACAGTGATAGAACTAAATAACCATGAAGAGAAATCCTTGGGAAAACGATTTGGTTTGTGACTTTTTTTAGTATAATATTTTACACGTTTGTATACGTATCTGATGCAAACACATTGCTGGCGGTAGCATTTGTTTTTCCAATTAATGTTATAAATATCCATTGACTTACAATTATATGGACGTCGGGTCCGCGCTAAAAAGTGTCCGAACTTATAGGGCGTTAAAATCGTATACAGAGCGTCATTCACGCCTTAGTCTTCGTTTGTTCGACTGACAGCGAAGCAAGCAAAATTAGACAGTACTGCGATGACATTACAATTTAAATTGAACGTTTTCGCTTTTTCATATTCCTTTACATGTCACTACGTTTAAATAGGTTGACTTGGGACATTTTTTTCGTGGTTTTTGTATTAGACCCGTCGTCCATTTATTTGTAAGTCAATGTAAATATCACAATAATTTATCAAGATAGACATATTGTGATTCTTATCACTTCAAACCCTGTTAAAAGTGCAAGGTGGCGCGAATTGTATGTCGTTATGCCCCAGTGTTTTCAAGAAAACAACGTATGTTACGCACACTTATTCACTTACCCAATAGACTCGCTTGCGTACAAGATCCAATGTTAGACCATTGGGCCATTTAACGTCATAAGAAACAATGGTCTGCCTATGTGAGCCGTCCATGCCAGCGCGCTCGATTTTCGGGGTCTGACCCCAGTCCGTCCAGTACATCCATCTACAACAAAGTATTTATTTATTCGCTAACTCATTTAAAATGTAAGTATTACATATAAAATATCACGATGATCATCGTTTCAGGTTTCAGTAACTTTTTTGGGAAACTGAAAATAAGATTAAAATTTCGTAAAAAAAAAAAACTTTTTAAAAAAAAACGATCTCAAAATTTTGTGGAAACTTCTATTTGCCAAGTTTTATTGATTGAATTCAACACCTAATTTATCGCCCTTAAATGCAGAATATTTTCATCAAATTTGAATGGAATCACACCACTGAGTTACTTTCCAAAATAATTATATAGTTTTGGGAAATCGGTTCACAAATGTCGGATTAATCGCGTAACATAGAAAAAAAACAGTCGAATTGAGAACTTTCTGCTTTTTTTTAGTAGGTTAAAAATTAATTTTGACAATAAATAAAGACAATTTCTATAATACAGCTTATTTACTTACATTTCTTTTTATAAGATAATATCCTACTGATTCAAAAATGTCCTATTCTATACGTATAAACTCCACATTTGTAGAGTACGGCTAATTAATTGTACCTGGGGGTCTACTCTCGATCTCCGTCCGAAACAATTACTATCAAATAAGCAATACTCGACCAAATGAAAAGACGCGTGATGCGAATGAAGCTTCATACTTGATACCTGTCTTTTAATTTAGTCGAATATTACTTATTTGACAGTAATTGTTTCGGACGGATGTCGGACGGAGATCGAGTGTAGACCCCCTGGTTCAAAAACCCATTTTAACAAAACAAACGCGTCAAGACTTATGAAATAAACATCGAAACTTTGTAAACATAATCTATTTTTAACGCAGTAAACATACGTCAATACAGTTCAAATTTTGTTTATAGCACATTATTTAAAAAGAAAACCTTTTGGGGAAAGTTTTAACGATTGTAAATATATTCATTAATTTTAAATTTATTTAAGTGTTGTTGTGTGTAAGAAGCTAATATGACTGTTTTTGTTCTTATTATTCTTCATAAATGCTAGACTATGTTTAAAAAAATACTGAAGTAGGCACTGAAGCGTCCACATTTTTATTCTTACGTGGCGTTTCAATATACTACAATATTTAAAACAACTAATTGTTTGTTGAATTGGCTATTGTCACACATTGACATGCTTTTTAAATATACGACGTAATGATTAAATCCCTTGCGAACCCGGCCATACACGATTGATTGGTTTATAAGAATAATTTTCCTAGCGAAACTCTTCTACCTATCTGAACCGGGCCTTCGTGACACGATTGCGCATTACACTAACTTACCTTGCATTTAAAATTAGTGCATCGACTAATCGCCTTGCGAGCATCAACACATCAGTTCGGACGGATTTTAGCGGACCCACCTTTTTGGATCGTGATTATCTCATTTATGCTTTTTCGTCTGGAATACTCTTTTCTAATACCTACCTAAACGTACTAGTACTACGATTAAGTCAAAAACATCATGATAATAATAACGAGAACTATCTAACCTGCAAAAAAATGTTGATGATTTTTTTTCAACACAATTGTTACGACTGGCGCCCAAGATAACTTTTTTGCTTGCTTTTTTCGGATTTTTCAAGATATTTCAGCATGAAATCGGAAGACGAGTCTGAAGATGACGTATCTCTAAATATGCACAGATGGGAGAAGAAGAAACGTCTTCTAGCTTACCTGTCACGGTAAGCTAGAAGACGTCGGTTGGAATCCGATCGAAGGAATTTTTTCTGAGTGTTCGATCTTTGTATTAATATTTTAACAAACTAGTGGAGTAATTTCACAAAAAAAAAATTGAATATCAATTCAATAAAAATTTTAAATTATTGTTGTTGTATTTTCCTCAACTATATAATATAGGCCCATCTAAATACAATCGTGTTTCTACACAATTGTGCGCCTGTTAAAATAGGGTCGAAATTAATACAATTGTGCGGGCCAAAGTTTTCCAAGATGGCGGCCGGAAAATGAAAAATTGACCTTAGATTGGTCATCTACAGGTACCTGAAGGTACATACAATATTTTTCGGAGAAATTCCAAGTAGTTTCAGAGCCGGTCCGAAAAGGATAATGTTATAATCATGACCAAAAATATTTATTACAAGGATTATACAAGTAAGGCAAATAATAAACGGCTTTGCATGGTACCTACTTAGTAATAGGTACCTATTATAAGATTGGTTTGATAAGTCCGTGATTTTGAAATTAAAAAATATATTATGGTTTATTTTTTTACATAATCTTTAAACTCTACACCTTGACCAGCGTTATCCTAACTTCTTCAACTCATCAAAATATTTTTTTTTTTTTCAAATTCATATTAATTTATTTTGAGACATTATTTAGTCCATATTTGTTAGTAATAATCTTATGAGCTAAGTTAGTAGAAACAAGGAGAACAATTACAATACATTAAATTAAATAACATTATTATTAAATTTTTTTGTCAAAATGAACATATTAAATTAAAAATCATATAAAAAAGTGAAATTAGGCCAATCTTGTGAATACAGGGGGTGTAGCTATTGCTTGTCACTTTGAACATCAAAACTTGCCGAAGTATGATACAAACTATTGTTCGACAAGTTTTGATGTTCTGATTGCAGAGGAGAAACGGAATACTCGAAATTCCGTTTTCTCCATCTTCAAAAAGTATATCGACCTCACCTAACTTTTTTATTTTTTATTTGTTTAACCTTAAAGTCACGTATTTAATAAACCGTCGTACTTCTATAGTATCTCAGTACTTACTAGATTATATTATAGTCTTTTCTATTTTTAAATAATGTAGGGGAGACGTAATATCGAAATATATTTAGGTATAATTAAAATATTTGGCGTATGGATTTACATTATTACTATCGAAGTGATCAAGTAATAAATTTGAATTAATGACTATTGACAATTTATTATCAATAATGGTGCTTAAGCAATATAATCAGTCATTTGTATTTATCATGTATTAAATCGATTGACTGATTTGTGACCACAGACATATATCTAGATAGACGACACAAGTGTATGTTCTTCGCGGGCCCAAATTAAGTGAAATTCACTTACTTGCCGCTGCTACACTTCAGAGCGCGCTCGACCGTTATCGCAGAGAAACACATTACAAACTGCAAACGCACCATAACCAGAGACGTTTCCTTCCACGGGCAAGTGATTTTGTAATCAGAAGATGCATAATTTATGTTAAAAACAATTCTTTTGGATTTGTATGAATTTCGAGGAAACAAATATGCAACCCAGTGTATGCTCTCTCATGATTTGTAATACATTGCGGCTTTTACTTGGTACGATATATTTGTGATTCTTTGTTAATACGCCGTGAATATCGAACAACGCACTTTTGCATAATACATTCAGTTTCTGTGGTACGGCCGCTTGTACATTTTTTTGGCCAAATTTACCATTTAATGATGTATTCGTTAGGCAACACTGTTCTCGATCTGATCGATTTTGAAAACAAAGGGACGAAAATTATTATGACCTTAGGAATATTATAAAAATATTCCATACCTAACTCTTTTGTTATAACGTTTAGTAACGTTTCGTTTTTTTTTCAGATTTGTAGTATCTATCTAATTTCTATGTAATTTTTGCAGCACGTTGCCTCGAATGTCCGAGTACAGTGAGACAATAATTACATATTAATTATTATTATTATTACTATTATTGAATTATTACGAATAATACAAAAAATATATATAATGCAAAGAATTAACAGTGCGCTGTCTTTACAAAAACCTGGAGTTGGTCATACGTATGACATCGTTGCTTTCGAGGACGAAGGTGGTCTAGTTTATCCCACCTAAGATGCTATCCAAATATGCACAAGTAGCAGAGTTAGAAATCCGAGAAATAATAAACAAATAACAAAAATTTCACACGAGCCGATCATTAAGTAAACCTCTTCTAATTAATAAGATTTTACCATATTTTGTCAGCAGTAACATTTTCATTTGTCTTGCCATTCATCAATTTGATCAATTACCCACAGAAAACCATTCAGACAGTCGCAAGTTCATATATTGAGGTGCGTTTTCATTATTTAAGTTAATCGATAATATCTTGTATTACAAAAAGATGTTATATAATAAGCTCATTTTACTGGAAGGACCGTAATTTTAATATTTGAAGTCGATTAAAAAGTAAAGTCTGAATTTTTTTAACGTAAAATAAAGGACTAGACTGTCTTATTCTGGTATTTTTCTACTATTATTATTACGACATTGTAATCAACATTGTCAACAAATACTTGAACAAAAATTATTCTATTTAGAATCGATTAATCGAATGGAATACGCGTGTATACGCGTATTCCGTTCAATCAATCGATCGAAAATCACTTAGTTGCCGCTTCTACGCTTCAGAACAAGGACGAAGGTGGTCTAGTTTATCCCACCAAAGATGCTATCCAAATATGCAGAGTAGCAGAGTTAGAAATCTTAGAAATCATGATCAAATCACAAAAACTTTACACGAGGCCGACATTAAGTAAATCTATTTTGTCAGCAGTAACATTTTCAGTTGTCTTGCCATTCACCAATTTGATCAATCACCGACGGAAAACCATGTAGTAAATTTAATTAAGGCAGTTTCAAGTTCATAAATATGTGCGTTTTCATTATTTAAGTCAATCGATAAGATCTTCTATTACAAACAGACAGTTATATAATAAGCTTATATTATTTCAAGGACAATAATTTTAATATTTGAAGTTGATTAAAAATTGAAGTTTAAATTTTTAAGTAATCAAAATTTTTTTACAACAACTTTTAATAAAGGACATAACTATATTGTTTTGGTATTTTTCTACTATATTAATATATATTTCGCAACTACTTGTAATCAACGAATACTTGAATCGATAAATTGAATCGAATGGGTACGTGTATTCCGTTCAATCAATCGATTTAGCGCGGAAATAGGTTTCCCATTACTAAATAGCTCTTGTGACGTCATGGTGGATACATAAAATGTGGCACGCTCGGTTTTCATACAAATTGCTGTACTTGCGGCGTCTATCTAGACATATGTCTGTGTTTGTGACGTTAATTTGAATTGTAGAGAACAGGGGGTCTACTCTCGATCTCCGTCCGAGACAATTACTGTCAAATAAGTATTATTCGACAAAATTAAAAGACAAGTATCCAGTATGAAGCTTCCTTCGCATCACGCGTCTTTTCATTTGGTATGGTAAGTATTGCTTATTTGGCAGTAATTGTTTCGGACGGAGATCGAGAGTAGACCCCCTGATTACTGTTCTTACAAACTTATACATACCGACGGCATCTATGAATACTATCCTAATTACCAAAAATGCAGACCACCTCAACTGCATTTTTAAAGTGGTGCTATCCGATACTATCCACAATATTACTTTTGTGAAATTTGTAATGGATTAGATTTCAGCCAAACATACAAATCAATATCTACTTTATGCGCAAATTGAATATGCACATTATATATATAAAATTGCAATTTACAGATTGCACAGTGTACGTAGATCCCGTATACAAGTATGCACTTAGATACTCGATAGATAGATTAGGTAATCCAAATTTAATCTACCTTTTCAGACACTACGAATTTAGTATTAGCAACTCACTCAGGACTTTATTATCTGGTATACATGGTTTCAATTCCTTACAAATCTAATAGTAAAATGTGCCTACGAATGAGTGAGTAGTATCTATTCAGTTTGACTATTTCAATTGTAATTTGTTTACCGATTTTGAATGCAATATTGATAACAGACTGAAAATAATTGACCGAACGTTTTATATTGGCGTTACCCAATACGCAACCAAAATAAACCGGTTATAATACCGATAACTGATACGTAAATCGTAACGTCGTCGTTTGTCGTTGACCTCAAAACTGCTACTAAAATTGAACTGTTTTTCGATTAATAAAATAAGATTTTAATTGTTCTTGTTATTGTTCTTTTTGCGACTGTTGTTGCTGTTTTGTATTTGCATCTACTTATATAATTATATTGATATTTCACACCTACGTTCCATACTTGGCACGGGTTAAAGGTGTTCTTTTCCTTAAAGAAGATTGTTTCTGTCAGAGAGGAAAAACCAGAATTAATTGTATGTATACGTACCCATCCAAAGGGTTCAAAGCGATCGCCCTCGGTTCCTCGAGCCTGTCTCTGATAAGGATTTTCCTCATATTGCCTTGTAGGTCTGAGAGCTCAATGTGGTTCTTTCCAGTGTCTGTCCAGTATAGATGATTGTAGATCCAGTCCACGGCTAAGCCATCTGAAGTGATCAGTTGCTCCCCGATTACTACTGTACGTTGGCTGCCTTCATCTATCGGTGCTCTGTAATTTTAGAAATGGTTGCCATAAATCCTCACACTCTGGATTAAAATATATTTTGCTCCGTATAAGTTTTTGTTTATAGTAGCGCCATCTACGTGTAGTATTTACAGCTCCTCTAAAACACTTCGCGCTAGTGGCGCCAGAAGACGCACATTTGTTTCGTAGTTCCTAAACGAGTCACTAGATAGCAGTGTCAGTCTCGATTTACTACTTTACTAAAGTTGGAGTATTAATTTAATCAGAATTATATATTTACTTATCTCGTCAAATTATTGTGCTTACCTCGAAGAGAGAGGCTTTAAGTGTATGTATGTAATCGTCACCTCACTGTTAAAATGTTTTATGTCATTTTTTTAAATTTTATGAAGAGGGAAATACACGAAACGTGATGTTTTGAAATCTATCCATAAAATATATATAAATAGATCTCAGATGTCTCTATATCTCAGATGTCTCTACATCTCAGATATCTATTTACAGAGGTAATTAACATTTTATCAGGTAATGAATGCACTTAATGTTTTTGGACATTGTAAGAAAAAAATATTTGAAAAATAGTGGACATAATGAGGTTTTAATAATAAGGCGACATTATGCTATTACTTACTTGTAAATCTTCTCCTCCGTAACATCACTCCAAAAAATCATGCCAGTTCTAAAGACGTAGTCTAAAGCAGTAGCTGACTTCGTGTCGTTTACAATGGCTACCATTTCATGGTGATCCAAACTGATCTTGCGAATGTCGAAGCGTCTAGCGAAGAGAAGTGATGGATGACCTTCAGTGGCCTTACAACGGGTACGGTCCCTTGGGTCACGAGCGTAGCCAGCGTGGCACTCACACTTGAACGTTCCTTTCTCGTTGATGCATAATTGGGAACATGCGCCTGGATCTGCACATTCGTCTACGTCTGGAAATGCACAGAAAAACGTTTGAAAGTGGCAGCTAAATTATCATCAATCTAGAATTTTTTGACAAAATTATAACAGTTTCATTGGTTAGTTCACTAAAACAGAGATTGCTTTCATAATTTTGGTAATGAAAGATATTTTTTTTTTATATTCAAGAAATACCTTGTAAAATTTCGCTAACAAGTTAGACATAATGAAGTATATTAATTAGCAAGATATTTCATTTATTACACTTACAATTTTTTATCCATTACCTAGAGATAGGCGTATTACCTTCGCAAGTCCTGTTGTCAACAAGCTTGTATCCTTTATCACAATCACAATAATATCCAACTGGAGTATCAACACATTTCTGAGTGCATCCGCCATTGTTTTTTGCGCATTCGTTCTCGCCGCAGCGGTCTCTTGGCTCATCCTCAAAGTTGGGACAGTCAGGCTTCTTGTCGCAAACTTTCGTCAGAGGAATGCACATGCCGCCGCCGCAGTCAAACTCCGTCCGCTTGTCGCATACAGTCCTTGGTCGTGCTGTGGAGTAATATACATTTAAGTTACCATGAATACTTCACATTTTGAGTATTTGGGAAAATGTACTTTTGTAAGAGATCTATATAAAAATACTTCGTACTTAAGACAACACATACACGTTATTATAAACTTACTACAATTGAATTCATCACTGCCATCGGGACAGTCCTTTTCACCATTACAGTATAGAGCTCCTGGAACACAGCTGTGGTCTTTGCATTGGAACTGATCGGGTCTGCAGGTTACGTTCCCACGGCAGAGCTCAGGAGCCTCGTCACCACCATCCGGACAGTCACGATCCCCATCACACACCCATGCTTTGTGAACGCAGGTCATTCTATCACGGCATTCGAACTCCGTTGATGTACACGGAGAAGGTATTTTAGGAGTCGTTGCGCAACCCTGCAAATATCCAACACAAATTTTGTAATATTAACTTCCACAAATAGTGGGTTTAGATTGGTATACCGACGGAGGTTCGAGTCCTGTCTTTGTATTAAAATTACTTATAACTAGCTATTTTTGCATTTATTTCTAGTGTAATATATGAATATAAAAGACAACAAGCTTCATATGGTACCTAAACTCCAACGGACCTTGTTACCTAACACTATACCATTTTGAACCTATACTTATATAAAGAGAGTACAAGAATCATGAACATTTTAATATACAGGAAAATTGAATTCAAATTCGTAAATTACAAAATGAAATGGGATGGGATCGAGATACCTTCTCAGAGCATTAATAATTCAGTTATATAGAGGAGCCAGGTAATGAGATCACTAGTCCTATCTCGAAACGCGATTTTTGTGCGTTACAAAATATATTTACTTACCATCTCATCACTGCCATCAGGACAGTCAATGTCTCCATCACAGCGCCAACGGGCCGAAACGCAATGGCCATCAGCACATGAAAAGTGCGTGCGAGGCTGACAAGTTGGGGCTGCACATTTCTCTTCATCAGTCCCGTCGCCACAATCGTCATCGCCATCGCACACCCATCTTTGTTGGATGCACTTTCCATTTCCACAAGTAAACTCGTCAGAGCGACACGTTTCATCTGCTTACACCAAAATCATATGTCAAATATTCTTTGAACCTACTTAAGACAAACAAACGATTACAGCTCTAATCTGCTATGAAAGAACACATTCAATTTTTTTTGTAGAGCATTGCAGCAATGACCTAAGTTTTTTCATTTATTTTGCAGCATCACAGTTATTCCTGAACCTAAGTAGACAGGTAAAGTTGTATTTTCGAATTTGTATTTCAGTTATTCACGGGAGCATTCTATTACTTAATTCCGGACATTGTTATAAAATATCTTATATATATAGCTTTATTAAATAGCTTTGCTGAAATTTTATTTCTGAAATGCAAAGCGAAGGAATTCCACAGATAATAAATAATAATGTGCTAAGTTTCGAGTGTGGTAGAGCAATAGTGCTTTTTAATTTGCTAAAGCTAACAGATAAAAGTTTTTCGAATACTAGGAGTCTGGATAGAACTCAGCATTTCACGTCCAAAATTCTAATCTTGTTTAAACATTTCATAAAAGTTTAAGTTAGCACAAAGAGCACTCTAGGTAAATTCAGTGGAAACTATAAAATATATAACTATGATTAAAATATTTTCAGCAGGCTCGCAGGCTTAACGGCATAAATTGCCGGAAAATGAAAATTAGACGAAGGAAAAATAAAACATTATTGTAAAAGGAAGACTGAGCAGAAATAATGTATTTTATCAAACATGCATACCACCCAGCAAATCTCGTTATTCTTGGATGTTTCTCTGTCTGAGGAAAAATTATCTCCATTCCTCTCGGCTACATTTAATTGAATTCCTTTGAAGAACAGACAAGTAGAAATAGTTATCCTCGTTTTTCAGCAAAGGATAATTTCATGGTCGGAACATTAATTTATATCACAGCCACATAAATAAAATGAAAAAGGTATCCTCCCGTCGAATCCAGGTAATCACGTGAATAATTTGTAAATAGCGTCAGGCCTTGAGCTAAAAAGTACCTAAAGAAAATTTGACAGCGGCAAATAATGAGATAAACGATGACATAATCATGGTAAAGCTTTCAGAGGCGTAAGAAAAGCTTGCGGGCATTGAAGCACACACGCAACGTCATCGCTCACGCTTCAGGGCGGGTCCGGTGCGGGTAGATAAGAATTTATAGACGGATGAGCCGGGCGTTGATAGAATACAGAGCGTCTGGCTAGGGGGTGGAAACTGCGTACGCAATGATTGATTGATACTCAGTAGTCGAAGAGGAATAGTTAAACACCGACTCCATCTCAGAAAGTAAACATTAAAGTTTTTGTCCCGTTGCGGCAACATGATTGAGTGTCACAGGAACTAAGGCGGTATAAGCTGGTTTGACTTTGCTCTGATAATAAAATAATAGTCAACTAATACTCGTATTGTGCGCAAAAAGACAACCTAATATCGTGTGCTCTTTGTCCTAATTAAAGATGATTGAGATTAGATGTAGGTCAGGGTGACCTACATCTAATGCATGCAATTTACGTCTATACTTAATTTTAATAGCCAATTGAACGATTATATAATAAATAAAGTTAGAATGATTTGATTGAAATGAATGAAACTCATATGCAGTGAAGTTTTTTGATGAGGCAACTGTACAAGCATGTTTGCAAGTTTTCTTTTGATATTACGCGTTGTAAAAAGTTTTTTCTACGTCGTCGAATCGAGGCATTTTATAGAACGTAACACGATTATGAAATGTTATACCAGGGAGGTTGCGATGTATAACATTTTCAGTTTCATGATGGGAACATTTTCCTTTTTTTCTCTTGAAGAACATAAATTTAGCCATTGTATAATTATTAAAACGCAGTACCTACTTATAACTTTTGTAGATATAAAACTGACAATACGTGCTGAAACAATAATGTGATTTGAGATCTTCTAGGCGTTCGTAAACAATAAAGTCAGTATTTTGAAGATAATGAGTTCTTACTGCATGCTTTCTCGTCGGATCCATCTGAACAGTCAGGATTGTCGTCGCACATCCAAGTGAGTGGCACGCACTCTCCAGGCTTTCCTCGGCAAGTGAATTCCTCTGGACCGCAAGACTCCACTTCTGCCAACCCAAGTCATGCACATGCTAAGTACGATGCAGTACCTATATGTATGTACGTCTGTATATTCCCTACTTATATATATTAAATACCGTGTAAGTATAGGTACCTATTTCTTTCATAACGAAACAACCTATACCCGAAGACGTTGCACTGACCCGATTTATTTTTGTTTCATTCGATTTTATTTTAGTCAATTACAAAACAAATACCTTGAAAAAATTGTTTCATCGTTTGTAACGTAAAAATATTTATTTAACAATTTTAGAATAGCTCGTTTACATTTTTGGACGCTTTTCACAAAAAGTTAATTCAGAGTCCTTGTTTTCTGTTTATAATATAACGGAATTGTCCGACAATGTGGCATGAAAAATAAATAAAACATCGTTTACCGCGAAAGTTTAAAATCGACAATCCGTTTCTGGGAATCGTTTGAATAACTTTTTTGGAAATACATTTTACTTTTTTAAACGTGCCTGTTGCATGCTAGTTTGACCAATGATTTGTATAGCATATGACGTCATGCCAATAATCATGCTTGGTTGCCGTCCATGCTCTTACCGCACTGATGTTCGTCAGAGCCGTCAGGACAGTCGGCTGCATCGTCACAGTGCCACGCGGCGGGTATGCAATGTCCAGTCGCGCATATGAATTTGTGTTCCGGACAACTCATTCGTTGGGCGGCTGTATGTAAAATTTCCATAGATATTTTTGGTCTTTTGTGTTCCAATTGCCATATTTATTTTTAATCGCTTCATTTATGATACTTTGTCTGGTTAAAAGTCTATATATTGAAAAAGTAATTATAGGTACTCTTACTTCAGATAAATCTGAATAGTAAGCAGTTAAATTACCTGTAAGTCCTATGACGATCAAAGTATATTATTATCAGCATAAATTTTACTTTACATACCTATACTCATGTTCAACACAAACTTTGGGTGTTCAAAATAGTCGTTGTTAAATTAATCCTGTTCTAAACCCCTAGGATTGTTTATAGAGCTTTAACTTGATTTACGCGTGAGGGTGAATTACCAATTTGCTTTAAATCTGATGGTAATCGTATTACTAAATACGAATTTAATTAACAATCGTCTAAAAACTGAAACTTTTAAAATTAAGAATTGTGGCGACAACAATAAATGCTAATTCTAATCACCGTCAGAAACTCGTAATTAATGACACTAAACATTGCTTATTTGAGTGTAATATTGTTGAACGATGCAGCTAACAAATTATATAAATTCTAATTAAGAGCTTTAACTTTGCAGTTGAAAACTTGCCCAATACACCCAGAGAAAAGGTGTTTTTGCGTACACGGTCGTCTTCATGATACACATTTATTTCATGGCAAAGACACTCTGTTACATAATCATTCACAACGCTGTAATAAGGCGCTGCTTGGATAATAAATTACAATTAATTTTTCATTCCAACACAAAGAGTTATATAAAAATTAATTAAGTCTAGGCAATTCATTAACCCACTCTTTCTCACGTCTATAATTAACCAAAATGTTAAAACAGACAAATGAATCTACGGCTTTGAGACAAAAGGGTTTTATACAACAGCCTTTTATGGGCGACGTACCTAAGTATACATTATAGAAATGGCTGCAGGGCGGTTACAACAAACATTTCGTGCCCCTGACAAATAAAAAGGCTTTTCCATTATGTGAGGTCGACTTATAGTGCCGCTACGTGTACAAAGTTGCGGGTCGCGGCTACCATAACCCCTCTCCCCCAGAAATAAAACCCGCTAACTTCCGCACGCTTTTTATACACATTGTTACAGTTTGAAAAAACAAGGAATTAAAAGTTCGTCTGAAGCGCTTTCGGCGCAACTTCTTAAAGAACCTTTTATAAACCGCTCTAAATCTGGATAAAATAAAAAACGCCTCCTTTGTTTTATCATACAAACAAAGTGTACAATGAATAAATAACGTTTTAACTATTAATATATCTACTACTAATAGAACATTGCTACTAAAACAATATTATTGTGCAACTTTAACTGCAGTGTTAATTAATTGAATACGAAACAGGCTCGACTCATTTGATATTCGGCGAATTCATTAACTTTAACCAAGAAGTGCATCAATATTAATGTGCCAGAAATACTTCAGGCAAATTCTGCTTATAAATTATTATTTTACTTCTGTATGATTCTATATTTATTGTATAGTACTCTATCCTTGCTGTTAATATTGCAAATTTGTTATCTTATATGGAGGTCAGATGAATTTTTGAAAGCCAAACAAATAAAATTATTATTATTATTATTATTTATATTTATTTACACACTATCGTACCTATCTCCCACTGGGTTTGGCAGATACTCCTTACCTCCATCCGCTACACACAACAAAGGCAGTGCAGCCAATTAAACGAGCTGGTAATGTTACCGAACCAGAGTAATTAGCAATTCCTTTCACCAAGCGAACTTAATTTCTTGCTCCAGTAGTCTTGATCACATCGAATCTCCAAGGACCCCTACTTTGCGACATCCTATCCTCATGTGTGAACAATAAATAAATTTACACAAACCTTGACGCATCTTTAGCACCCTAAATTTTACCATCCCACGTATTTTAAATACCACAACACTTGCGTAACATTGTTGATTAAAGTTCTGTTAAGTTATTTTCATGTGCTTCCTAACAAATTAAGGTACCTACAACCTTCATTGTTGTTATGAAACGGAAGGTCTTAAGGCTAAGTTTTCCACTAATTATCGAATAGTAATTTGAAACATTTTCTTTGCAATTTCTTATAATTTATATTGACCTCAGTCCAATCAGTTTGTAGTGGCAAAGGCCTCCCATCCAGGCAGTTAGAGGTACTAAATGCTTATCGAAGAATTTAAATAGGATTATAACAAGAAATTCATAACGAGAACTGCCAGAAAGGGCAAAGATTATAAAATTAATCCTGAAAACTTCAAGACGTAATTAAGATTTTAATTCACGGTGGAAGACTCGCAAAGAACAAAATACGCGTGCTGGTACCTTCAAAACTTTGGCCATAAATTGCGAGATAATTCATTCTTCTTCACTGTATACCTACGCAGAGAAAATACTGGAACAATCTAGTAGAAAAATCGTAAATCCTAAAAAGTATGTGCGACGTAACCGAATGCAATTTTGCTTAGTAAATTGTAATTGGATACTCCTCGAGGATCGCCCTTCTTTCATGCGTGAAATCTGGCTTTGTCATTTTGTCGACCTTGTTTCCCATTGTCCTGTCTCTATACACAATAGCGAAATTGTCTGCCCCGTACTGTGAGGTAATGCAAAATTAACCTAATAAAGTTTGCCTATTTTTGCCGCCGAGGGTCTTTGTATTTACGGACGCGTGATTTTCATATTCCGTTGTTTATGAATTGCTATTCGAAGTTAAACGGACCACGTACCTTTGACTGTGTTAAAAGTAAAAGTGTTAATATTATTAAGTACCCATCCTTCTATCGCGTTTCATTAATAATTAACAATCATATATTATTAGACTTTCATAGTTTCGTAGGAAGTTTTACCTAAATGAAATCAGGTGTAAAGCAGGACTTATAAAAATATTACTGCTCCATAATGGAAACGCTTACTGCAAGTGCCAGGTTCTTCATCTGATCCATCGGAGCAATCCTTCTCGTTGTCACACCTCCATGACATCGGCACACAACGACCACTCTTGCACCGGAACTCCGCCGATGTGCAAGTGCGACTTTCTGTGTACAATAAGAGATGACAGTTAGCAAAAATATGAATATGACGTTCGTAAAAACAATAATGAGTTTTATTTATGTATTTTGGGTTTTAGTTTATTATATCCAGAATTAAAAAGTTAATTTACACAATGTATTGTTCTTCAATAAAAATATCAATATATTATATTACGATTAATTTTCGTCATTTCTTTACAACAAAAAGTATAACAATGTGACACGACACGATATTAGTTTTCGTAGTTTATCTAATCGTGGCATATTTTATTTTTACAACATTTATGGGTACAACACTATATAGACTGAAAACTTGTCATACACTGGAATAGCGGGAGAGGAAAATCCTCAGTAGTTCTGTGAAGAAAAGTTATCTATTTATTAACAGAGCAAATGGGATGAAAAATACCAGTAGTTCTGTCAACAGAACTGATAACGAAACCAGTGGGAGTAATCGGTATTTTCCTTTACAGCGCGAGAAGCTAATTCTTTTTCTATGATATGACATCATGAGCTTTATTACAGATTCCTTTTAACAATTAACTGACTGCACTCTTCGAAACTCTTGATCAACATTAACTGACTACATTCTTCGAAACTGACACTGGCCCAAGCCTAGTGGACGTCGTTAAGGAAATAATAATAACAGTAATATACAGGTAGGTATACATACTCTTATTTCCTTCAAATATAATTTATGTTAGATACTATAAGTGTATGAATGGAATGTACATTATTATACTATTATGCAACCGTTATTTAATATTGTTAAACATTTAAGTATACATATAATTCTAAAGGTCAGGTCAAACGACGTATAAAGGACAGAATTTTTCATTACTTTGCGGCCAACTGTAATTTCGTGTATAAATATTATCCTAGCTGCGAATCGCGATATATCAAGGAAAATACAACCCTAAGTAGTCGCAATAAAAATCAAAATTCGTCACTCTCGGCTTCAAGGATCTTAGTTCTTTTAATTTTCATGAATTATGTTGAGCACGGTGGCACTTTCAGAAGCATTTAATCTTTGGTAAGTATGGGATTATATTGCGGTATGTCTGGTATGTGCTTGTATTATCGTCTCCTGCCATACGCAGGGATGGTTAATACCCGTGGTGAACACTTGCTTATAGTGAATTAACGCTTGGTTTCTCTTCTTGATCAATCTGTTTAACAGCTTATTCCATTATTATTGCATATATATTGTGTACAATGTAGATAGTGAATCTATAATGTCAATCCCAACTGTTGTACTTACACTACAATGGAGATATGGCTACAGCTAGATTGGCAGTCTACGATATCGTAGATGAAAATGAAGATAAGAATTTTAACATCCTGTAAGGTCGTACACTGTTTCCAAATAACATGAAAACCACTTTTTACAAAGTCTATAAATAATTATAAGTAGGTACTACTCCTTTTTATACAGAGACGTGAAAAAAATCTTGTCTCCAAATTATTGATTGTCGTAATCGCCGGTTGACACGAACTTCACGAGTGAAAATAAGTTACAAAGCGAACCGTGGCTACGGGACTCGCTTATAATAATATATTTTCTCCAAACTTTGCTTTTTAAATAATGTTCTCAAGAAAATGCAAAGCGGATTTAAGTCATTCCGTGAAGGAAAAAAAGATTAAATAAAAGTCCCAAGATTACGTTTTAACGGAAATATTTTTAAAATTCCCTTTTTTTATTTTATACGTCGTTCCTGTCTGAGCTCGGAGGGAAGCAGTAAACTGGATCAATCCATTTACGGCTGAAATCACCGTTCAACGTGCGTATAAAACAAGGTTGGAGAAAATTATCGGCGGGTAGCAGAAGCCGCTTTATCTTGAGGTGATTCGAGGCGAGAGAGGCGAGACACGCGCCGCCGAGCAATTTGTAAACAAAACGCACCCCTACCGAATAATATCACCCTACAGTACACGAGTGCGTAGATCGTTTACCATAGCTTCAGCAATAAATCCAAGTACATTATTAGAGATTGCTACAACAAACATTTCTGGCCAATTTGGAGTGTCAACAGATAAATAAAAAGGCTTCTAATCCAATCTCGTACTATTCCTCGGTGGCCAAAAATTTCCGGTCACGTTTGTTTACGACGATTCCTGAAATAGGCACTAATTAGTTCCTCGTCATTTCTCATACGCAATTTCCAGAACGAATGATTAGGTTGACTATTTAATACAAAATGAATTCCGCTACTTAATTTTTGATGCTAACCGTGCCCCCGTTTTTTCTTAATTGCAATGATGAGTAAAATCTGCCATTTATGATGCTTAAATGCGAGTTGACTAAAAGGTTGTGAGAGCCATGGGACGAGTCCATTCTGTCGACTGAAGCGATCCCAGAATAACGTCCTCATTATTTCCGCTACACCGGAATGTTGAAGCGAAATTCTTCTTTCTGATATAACCAGGTACTGTGCGTTGGATTTGCATTTATCATGTTCACTTATAAGTTATTGCAAGGTTTCTTCACGATATTTATCTACTTACTTACATGCCTGGTCGTCATTCGAGTTTAAAAACAAATTGCTAAAGCTCGATCATGTTCTTACTTGTGTACTCCGTAGTCTCGACTCTTGTGAATTCCAAGATTGAAAACATTATTTAACCTACCAACAATCTGTATTTGTATGAATATTTGTTTTCTTAGGTAAATAATGGCATTAAAACAACACAACACGTAGTTTTTCAAATTTCGTGAATGAAGGATAATTTACCAACAATCTTCATATTTCTTTAATGAACACGAAGGAACGCCCTGTTTAACTTAATGGAGTTCGAAAATCGACGATACGTTAAACAGGAACTCGACTACCGCCTTAATCGCCATATTAGTCACGGTTAACACCAGTAAAGTCAGTTTATATTGTATTATTCAGTAGTGCACTGTCATTTAATCCTTTGGAAACAATTGTAATTGTAAAAGCTGATTTTGTTCGATTCTGTGTAGACATTCTTGTTGTACCAAGTCAAACAGTTACCTACTGAATCACTAATCATGAAGACGAGATCGAAAGATCGAAAAAGTCACAAGCAAACCTATAAATGACGGTCTTACAGTCCGACCCCACATTGGTGGAGTGGCTCAATCGCAGATATGTCGCGTTGGCGACCCGATAAGCCCATTCGTTGGAAATGTCGATTCGTGGGACAAAATCACTCTAACGTAAAATGGTTGGTGACAAAAATGCCCCACGCCAAATTGCTTCTGAAGTCTTTCAATTTTCCGTATTCTTTGCTACTCTAGCGTAGGACTCGTAAACACTCGATTAAGTTTATAACTGTGTTGCTACATTGAGTCAGTAAGTAAACATTGAGTACTTATCCCGCTATAGATGTGTTCGTCAATAACTATCATTTTGCTATTAACGTCGAAGCGATGAGTACAGAATTATTCAAGGGAATGGCAATTAATAAGTGTTCATTAATATGGATGGTGCGTGTATATTAATTAGACTATTACAAGCGCCTCAACTGATGTTCGTTATCGACGTATTTGTTTACTGAATCGTAAGTAATTAAAATTATGAGGATCACTTTCGCTTTACACTCTAATTTTTTATAAGACAGTCAACTACGGGTGTATAGTAACAATTGAGTAGGTAATATTAACAAAATATTACTGAATCCGTTACCAATGGTCCTTATTTTCTTTATTTACTCCTGTGCTACAATTTTTACAGCTTCACTTCAAAGACATAAAGAGGCTGAATAACGGGTTTGTGTTTCAAAGGAGTGTTGTAACGAACTATGCACCCCGTTGAAAACGAACGCACAATCTTTTTTGCACGTTTTCTGTTATTGTGTAATTCCTTTGTGTAAAATAAGCCACAATTGCAAAGTGATTTATATCGAAGTTGTAGAAAAGTGTTTTGCGACAAATATTGAAGAAGATTGACTTCACAGCTTAACCGTAATGTGGTAGGTAAATTTTTTACATAACAGCGCAGAACTTTTCAAAGCAAGATGAAATCGCAAATCATTTGGTCTTTTTCTATAAAACCGTACTCCACAAATTTCATTTCGCAAAAAACTCCCTAGTAATTTCCTTGGAATATCTTTAAACAATGCTTGGCTTGCAACGTAGATGCAGGCATTAGACCGAATTGTCCCCAAGATGGCAATACCGTCAGCGGCACTAGGAAATTGTATTACCGGGTACCAGACGATGGCGATGAGTGCATTCGTTACTGACGTAACTGGAAGCTTTCGAGAACACTTACATACGTTACTTGCAGATTGTACGCTCGCCGTATTTTCTGCGTTACAAGAACACTTTTATACAATTTGGATTATGTACGATAGTAAAGAACAACATTAATGAATTAAAAGGAAAATCAATAAAATCTATCTCAAATATAAAATTCTCAACTTAAGTCAGGTACATCTTCTGTTCCTTGTTGTTATTTTTATACATTTTCCGATACTTCGTCTCTGGCTTAATGCGATTCCTTGGTATGTGAATACAATTTCTGGTAAAAGATGAACGTAAATCCTCATCTCCATCAGGTTTTTACATTTAATCCCAACGCCGGCAGGAAACTTTCCATTATTTTGTCCTCCTCCTCTCGCGTATTTTGTCCTCGGTAAACAACTTACGGAAAATATCAAAAGCCTTTGTTAATTCGAGGTCACACGCGTCGATAGTGTTTAGCATTTTAAGTAATAATAATATTTAACAAAACGAACGCTTGAAATGACCACTGAATAGCTAAGTGCTTGAGCCTGGGAAACTATTGGAAATCTTGTCTTGAGGCTACAAAGACTGACCTATTGGTTTTGTTCGGAAACTCAATTTGTGGGATCCTTCGCTACGGGTGAAGAGAACAATGTCGAGAACAATAAAATGTTTAAATTGGCTTCACACAATGTATCTATACAACACAGAACTCCTTAGATATATAATTATTTTTATGTACTCTGGGTACCTAAAACTTTACATATGCTTAGGCAAACTAATGTCTTTTACAAACGGATTACTTACTGGTATG